ATTTCGACAACACATCTAACATAAGCCTTACCGTCAAGAAGGTGAACTCGCGTTCTTCGCACACTGTAGACAAGGGCAAAGAGATAAAAATGGATCTAAATCCGAATAAAATCAGCACACGTTTCCGTAAATGAAAGGGTGAGCATAAGCAAATGAATCGAAGGAAACCGGTCAACTCAGAGATCACCTGTCATCGAGTATTCCGTAAAAGGAGGCCTCGGCAGCGGAAAAGCTAAATTTAGAAAAGAGATCCTGTCAGCTTGTCCATTATTTATTGCATTCCGCCCAAAATCAGCACACTTTTCGTAAATGAAAGAGTCAACACAAGCAAATGAATCAAAGGGAACTGGTCAACTCACCTGTCGACATGTCATTGAGTAATATTCCGCGAAAGGAGGTCTCAGCAGCGCCGAAACGAAATAAGCCATGCCAGGAGACGAAATATCCGAAACAGCTCATACAAGAAGCAGTTCCAAAGGAGAAAGTTCCTCGCGCATGCACATCCAAACACGGACTGCACTGCAACACAATGTCTGCCGTGCACGTGCAGAGCACGCGGCTACCACCCGTTGGTAGATCTAATACCGAGCACCTTACGTAGAGACTTACGTAGCCTAAGTGAAATACCGAGCACCTTACGTAGAAACTTACGTAGCATAGCGGTGTCGTTTTTCTTGCCATGTGAACACAATAATAGAAAAGCTGACAGGATCGCTTTTCTAAATTATTTTATTTTTAGAGTTGTCGAACAGTTTTCTCTTTTGAGTGTCTCTCCGATAAGAGAAGAACAATGGCCACTGTTGAACCTAAAGCAAAGCGCTCCCCATTGTCGCCGGAGTGCAGTGTCTCTGTGGACGATATTCGTCAGTTTTTGTTCGATCTGGGCTCCTCATTTTCTTCTCTCGATTGTCGAGTGTTGGAAATTGTTAATTCTTCCAGCACCTGGATAGAGATTTATTGCTCGAAGTCTGTGCTTCTCACATGCAATGGAACACCCGTCAATTTGAACCGTCTGGTTGTGAACCCAGCAGGAACATTCACTGCAGGTTGAAGCACATCTACTTCGAAATCGATCGGGTCTTCATGCCGAAGAGCTATTTCCATCAAATCTTGTAAATCTATATCCATGCCTATTCTTGCTATCCCGGAGTCACGAACTCTCCCAATACAAGCTTTTCAGACAACGAGCAGAGAAACTCTCTTCAAATAAAAAAATTCTGTGACTGTGAAATCAAAGCCGTTCTGCTAACACTGCATAGCCCGTGCAGCAAACGTTTTACGTGACACTTCCGTGGCTTGCTTCAAAGCAACCTTCAACTTGAAACCCCCGCCGGATGTACCAGATATGCACATGGGGATATGGCCCCATCCGCCCATGCTTGCCCGGGGACCGGATGACGCAATGTTTATTATTATTATTATTATTTAAATTTTGAATAGGGCAATCCCCACAGGCCTAAGGCCTTTTTACAGGGTACCCTATGTGGTCACGTATAGATTTGCGGAATAGTGAAAGCGAGGAGCAAGAGCGAATGTCAGCTGGAAGAGAATTCCAGCGGTCAGAAGCCAGAAAGCTCAAAGCGAATAAGCCATAACGAGTGCGTGCTTTAGGCAGAGCAAGTGAATCTATGGACTGGGAACGTGTATGGGCAGCTGTGCGTGTTGTGGCAGAACGAAGGCAGAAGCAATCAGAGAGCAGAGTGCTACACATGCCACGTATGGCCCGAAAGACAAGAATATACAGTTTAAGCTGATAGCGCAGTGCAATAGGAGCAAGGCCATATCTGGTGTGTAAGACTGAAACATCATAGTGCCAAGGGAAACCAAAAACAATCCTAACAGCGCGGTTAGCAATACGAGTTAGTCTATCATGTTGTGTGGTGTGAAGGCAGTGTACAAACGCATTAGAACCATATTCGAGGTGTGCTTGAATAAATGAGCAGTAGAAGGTCTTTCTCGCAGCCGGTGTCAGATTGTCCCTGATCTTCCGGAACATGGCAAGTTTTGTTCCGACCTTTTTCTCAACTTCAGTGACATATGAGGAGAATGATAGATGTTCGTCAATGGTGAGGCCAAGATACTTCACCGTTGGTGTTGGGGATATGAGGACATCGCCGAGCCGAAGGCAGATGTTAGGAGGAACACATTTTGTTTTTTGTCTTATGATGATAAATTGAGTCTTGGAGTTATTAAGATTGAGACCTCGGTCACGTAGGTACTCTCTGATGACAGATATGTCAGCAGAGAGATCATCAGTGAGTTTCTGCAAGTTCGTGCCTGCCTTATACATAGACACGTCGTCTGCAAATTGCCGAACCTTGCTCGTGATGGTACATGATGGCAGAGCTCGGACAGATAGGTTAAAGAGGGCAGGACCCAATGTTGACCCTTGAGGTACACCTCTTGTAGGTGTGTACTGTTCACCTTCCTGATGCTTCGTGACTACTCGTTGGCGACGGTCACATAGGAAACTAGCTATCCATTGCAGTGCAGTACCACCGACACCAATAGAGAAGAGTTCTTGAAGAAGGGAGGCGTGATTGACTGTGTCAAATGCTTTGCTGAGATCGAGAAAAGCAGCGACAACAAATTGGCCCTTGTCTAGACATGCTTGCCAGTCGTTTGTTGTCGTGGCTAAAAGATCTTCGCAGGAATGCTGCTTGCGGTAGGCGAACTGTTCATTCGGCAACGCGTTCGGAAATGATTCACCTTGTATGTGCGACATGATCTGCTCATACGCGCACCTCTCCAGCAGCTTGGAAGCGATCGGGAGGAGGGAAATAGGTCGATAATTACTGGGATCAGATGAACTCCCGCGCTTGTGAATTGGACGAACGTTGGCAATCTTGTATAAAGAGGGAAAAATACCTGATCTGAAAGAGATGGTGAAGAGCTGGGCAAGAGAGGGAGCGATTTGTTTCTGGAGGAGTTTGTAGATGGACGGAGGTATTTTATCTGGACCACTTGCTTTGTGGCTGTCAAGGCGTTTCAAATGGGACACTATGGTTGCTGCTGACACCGGTTCAAACTCAGTGAGGGACGGCTCTGGCATTGGTCCGATCGGTAGTTCGATACCTGTGCCTGATCGTGAGGGTGCACTCGAAGCGCGCTGTGGAGCGGTCGGTGATACGTTGAGGTGTCCAAAGGTCACGGTGCCAGCTGCACCTGCAGGTGTTGCTGGGGCAGGGGCTCGAGGTGAGACTATCCTGGCGAACGTTGCTGAAATGTCTTTGACTGAGGCATGGGGCTCATGGTACACAGTTGTTCTCCCAAGCAAAGAGTTGATTGTTTTCCACTGTAGCCTTGGGTTGCGATTGTTTCGAGTCAGTTCGTTTTGGAAATACGCAGCTTTCTTTCTTCGCATGAGGAGTTTACTTTCGCGCCTTAGAGCACGGAAAGCCTGAGTTAGACGTTGATCATCCGGTCTCTGTATCATTTTCCTATGTGCTCTTTTCCGGCGATAGAGTAATTGCCTTAGTTCACCGTCCACCCAAAGAGAAGGTTTGTATCGTGGTGACGTGGTGATGGTCGTGGTCGGACAATGCTTGTCAAGGGTGTCAGCTATTGAGGTTTGGAATAGGGCAATGTGCTCGTTTAGAGTGATCTCAGATGGCGAAGTGTTGTTATTATGGAGAGCAGTCAAACTGGAGCTAATGTCGTCTTGGAATTGTTGAATGTTTATCGCTCGAACTGGAGGCTTACGAATAGTAATGCGTTCTTCTTTGAATGTTCGTAGCATGGTTCACCTTCCTGATGCTTCGTGACTACTCGTTGGCGACGGTCACATAGGAAACTAGCTATCCATTGCAGTGCAGTACCACCGACACCAATAGAGAAGAGTTCTTGAAGAAGGGAGGCGTGATTGACTGTGTCAAATGCTTTGCTGAGATCGAGAAAAGCAGCGACAACAAATTGGCCCTTGTCTAGACATGCTTGCCAGTCGTTTGTTGTCGTGGCTAAAAGATCTTCGCAGGAATGCTGCTTGCGGTAGGCGAACTGTTCATTCGGCAACGCGTTCGGAAATGATTCACCTTGTATGTGCGACATGATCTGCTCATACGCGCACCTCTCCAGCAGCTTGGAAGCGATCGGGAGGAGGGAAATAGGTCGATAATTACTGGGATCAGATGAACTCCCGCGCTTGTGAATTGGACGAACGTTGGCAATCTTGTATAAAGAGGGAAAAATACCTGATCTGAAAGAGATGGTGAAGAGCTGGGCAAGAGAGGGAGCGATTTGTTTCTGGAGGAGTTTGTAGATGGACGGAGGTATTTTATCTGGACCACTTGCTTTGTGGCTGTCAAGGCGTTTCAAATGGGACACTATGGTTGCTGCTGACACCGGTTCAAACTCAGTGAGGGACGGCTCTGGCATTGGTCCGATCGGTAGTTCGATACCTGTGCCTGATCGTGAGGGTGCACTCGAAGCGCGCTGTGGAGCGGTCGGTGATACGTTGAGGTGTCCAAAGGTCACGGTGCCAGCTGCACCTGCAGGTGTTGCTGGGGCAGGGGCTCGAGGTGAGACTATCCTGGCGAACGTTGCTGAAATGTCTTTGACTGAGGCATGGGGCTCATGGTACACAGTTGTTCTCCCAAGCAAAGAGTTGATTGTTTTCCACTGTAGCCTTGGGTTGCGATTGTTTCGAGTCAGTTCGTTTTGGAAATACGCAGCTTTCTTTCTTCGCATGAGGAGTTTACTTTCGCGCCTTAGAGCACGGAAAGCCTGAGTTAGACGTTGATCATCCGGTCTCTGTATCATTTTCCTATGTGCTCTTTTCCGGCGATAGAGTAATTGCCTTAGTTCACCGTCCACCCAAAGAGAAGGTTTGTATCGTGGTGACGTGGTGATGGTCGTGGTCGGACAATGCTTGTCAAGGGTGTCAGCTATTGAGGTTTGGAATAGGGCAATGTGCTCGTTTAGAGTGATCTCAGATGGCGAAGTGTTGTTATTATGGAGAGCAGTCAAACTGGAGCTAATGTCGTCTTGGAATTGTTGAATGTTTATCGCTCGAACTGGAGGCTTACGAATAGTAATGCGTTCTTCTTTGAATGTTCGTAGCATGGTAGATAGCTCGAGAATGTTTGGATTTCGTTGCGCCAGACCCCAACCTGGAGTTGCACACTCTGGGGGGTTATGGACTCTTGATGGCGCCACATGGCAGCAGCGAGTAAGGATGTGAATATCTTGCTAATCGTTGGCAGGCATGTTATTGGGCGATAATTCTCGGGCCTAGAAAGGTCTCCTTTCTTAGGCAGTAGAGTGGTGATACCAAACGAGAACCAGGCCGGCGACTCTGTCTCTGCATCCAGGATTGATTGAAAGGAGACCACAAGCCGCTCGTGGATAGACGAAAACTTCTTCCACCAAAATGCATGGATCTTGTCCCGTCCTGGGGCTTTCCAGTTGTTTGATTTCTTCAAGATGTCCCTGAGGTCCTCCAGTTCAAGAATGACACGGTCTTGTTGTTGAATCTCCTCACAGTCCCTCTCCAAATTATCAAGCCAAGCACCGCCACGCAGCTCCACGGGTTGTTCCAGTATAGATGACCAGAACTCAGTAACAGCCTCAGCCGATGGATGCGCAGCAGCCTGGTCGACAGGTGGCTGCCCAGGCATTTCCGTAGACTTGGTCATATTGCGGTAGAACTGACGCTCATTCGTGACGAAAACACGATTCTCCGACCTGCGTGTTGCCTCTAGCTTATAGCGCCGGATCCGTGCGGCTGTTGCTTCTAGCTGCATTTTCGTATGCTCCAGTAGCTGGCGGGCCTGATCCAAAGTCTGGACTTTATATTGCCGGTGGATCCTGTGCTGCTTGATGTTGGTGTCAGAGAGGGATCCATCACGCAGGAAGCTGGTCAGCCGGGAGACGTCAGCCCTCAGTGCACAAACACGTTTTTCAAGGCGTTGTCGCCAGGCAGGCAAGGAACGTTCTCCTCTAGTTGTGTCAGGGGTGCCATCTGTATTGATATCCAGCAGTGAGAGTACAAGCTTGGCCCCAGCATAGACCATGTCACTGATCTGGCCAAGCGAGGTGGTGTCATTTCGCACCTCACGGTCACACTCCAGGAGTCTAGGGAGTATCTTGTTCACACGGGCAGTGGCAGAGGCCAGAGACTTCCTGGCCACGTGCCTAGGTACTGGTAGGCTCGACCTGGACTCTGGAGTAGTTGCACCGCACTGTTCGTAGATTTCAACAAGTTTGGCGTAGAGTGGTGTACTATCTGGCTCGAACGCACCCAGGGTGTCACTAGCGTTGGTGCCAGTTTGCATTGCTGCGCCAGTGCCATCACCCGAACCACCTGATGTAACTGAGGTGTCAGGACTAGCTCCACGCAAACCATCAACAGAAGCGTCCAGCAACTCACTGTGCATGTGGGTGGCCTCAGCAACGTCTGGGCTAGTCACCATGCCGTCACACGAACCAGGCACCAGGATCGACGCACCAGACTCACCCAAAGCATTCGCCTCCGGCAGCTCCGCAGGCACAGCGTTGTCAGTGCCAGCCGTCACGAGCAATCCGTCCCTTCCGAGCCGAGCCTTTATCTCATCAAATTCGATGTCGGTAATCTTTTTTGTTCTTTTCACAAACCTTAGCTGGTCCATGAGGTGCTGCTTAGACAACGGTCGGTCGGGGCGCAGCTGAGTCCATTCCATCAGCATCCGGTCTCCGTACACACGTAACGTACCGCCGACTGAGGCTATAAGATAACATCTTGCAACATCTTCGTTGTCCTGTCGGCTCCATTTCAACCTCCTGTTGGCTGGCTCGGACATACACTAACGGCAAATACTACACAAAATGATGGACAAGGGCTACTTGACACGAGGAATGCAACTGTGGGAAAAGCGAAAAGGAATAGGAGCGGGCAGTATGTGGAGAAGCCCACTCTGCCAGAGCTCCTATTTTTCAAACTTGCTTCTACATCGCGGTTATTATTATTATTATTATTATTATTATTATTATTATTATTATTGTGGAAGAGAAAAAGACATATGGATACGAGTTAAGAGTAACTCTCCATCACTGTAACATGATACTATATACAGTCAGAAAGTGCAATAACTAGGCACAAAACTGACAGAGTACTGAAACATTCGACGTCCTGACACCTAGCTTCAACACATCTCCGTAGCGCTAACCGACAGCCTTCCAACTTGGAAGGTTCAAGGTTATGGAAAAGACCAAAGAGGGGAAGGCAAGCGCAACGACAACGAGCAAAAGCTACAGTCCCAACGGAACAAAGAATGTCGATTGTTACTGGACGATGACGAGACCAGTACGATATTTGACAAAGCGGTCTAACTACAATTCGAAGCAGCAAAGCAGCACACCACCCAACTTGGGTGGGTCATAAATATCAAAGATAAGTAAAGAAAGGGAAGCTTTGCGAAAACGAATTGTACAAGCCGAAAGCCAAACTCCTACAGTACTCCTCATGCATGACATTGTGATGGACTAGTTGACTACAAAACAAGTTGTTTCACACGACGTACGTTTCGCCGTATGGTTCGTGACGGCTCATCAGGTGTGCAATTTGAAACTCGGATGTTGAGCCATAAATAAATGTGGAAGAGAAAAAGACATATGGATACGAGTTAAGAGTAACTCTCCATCACTGTAACATGATACTATATACAGTCAGAAAGTGCAATAACTAGGCACAAAACTGACAGAGTACTGAAACATTCGACGTCCTGACACCTAGCTTCAACACATCTCCGTAGCGCTAACCGACAGCCTTCCAACTTGGAAGGTTCAAGGTTATGGAAAAGACCAAAGAGGGGAAGGCAAGCGCAACGAAAACGAGCAAAAGCTACAGTCCCAACGGAACAAAGAATGTCGACTTGTTTTGTAGTCAACTAGTCCATCACAATGTCATGCATGAGGAGTACTGTAGGAGTTTGGCTTTCGGCTTGTACAATTCGTTTTCGCAAAGCTTCCCTTTCTTCACTTATCTTTGATATTTATGACCCACCCAAGTTGGGTGGTGTGCTGCTTTGCTGCTTCGAATTGTAGTTAGACCGCTTTGTCAAATATCGTACTGGTCTCGTCATCGTCCAGTAACAATCGACATTCTTTGTTCCGTTGGGACTGTAGCTTTTGCTCGTTTTCGTTGCGCTTGCCTTCCCCTCTTTGGTCTTTTCCATAACCTTGAACCTTCCAAGTTGGAAGGCTGTCGGTTAGCGCTACGGAGATGTGTTGAAGCTAGGTGTCAGGACGTCGAATGTTTCAGTACTCTGTCAGTTTTGTACCTAGTTATTGCACTTTCTGACTGTATATAGTATCATGTTACAGTGATGGAGAGTTACTCTTAACTCGTATCCATATGTCTTTTTCTCTTCCACATTTATTTATGGCTCAACATCCGAGTTTCAAATTATTATTATTATTATTATTATTTGAAACTCGGGTATTGAGCCAATAATAAAAGTAGAAAGGAAAAGGACATATGGAAACGAGTTAGGAGTAACTTATCTTAACTTATCTTATCGATATTTTTGACCCACCCAAGTTGGGTGGTGTGCTGCTTTGCTGCTTCGAATTGTAGTTAGACCGCTTTGTCAAATCGCCTACTGGTCTCGTCATCGTCCAGTGACAATCGACATTCTTTGTTCCGTTGGGACTGTAGCTTGTGCTCGTTTTCGTTGCGCTTGCCTTCCCCTCTTTGGTCTTTCCATAGCCTTGAACCTTCCAAGTTGGAAGGCTGTCGGTTAGCGCTACGGAGATGTGTTGAAGCTAGGTGTCAGGACGTCGAATGTCTCAGTACTCTGTCAGTTTTGTGCCTAGTTGTTGCACTTTCTGACTGTATATAGTATCTAGTTACAGTGGTGGAGAGTTACTCCTAACTCGTTTCCATATGTCCTTTTCCTTTCTACTTTTATTATTATTATTAACTGGTTTGAGGGAAAGAGACAAACGGTAAAAGTCTGAAGAAAAAATTGACTGTCACCACCAGGACTCGAACCAGGGACCCTCGCTTGTAGCCAGCGATGCTCTAACCACTGAGCTATGGTGTAGTCGTCATTCCAGCAGAGACCGTTCAACGTTTTCTTCAGACTTCGTAACTCACACTTCCTGTGAATCCACACAGGCGGGTGGGACGCAGCCCTCACTGTAACCCACACACTTCACGTACAAACTAGCACGCGGGGAGCCCCAAGTCATAAAATATTAACTGGTTTGAGGGAAAGAGACAAACGGGAAAAGTCTGAAGAAAAAATTGACTGTCACCACCAGGACACGAACCAGGGACCCTCGCTTGTAGCCAGCGATGCTCTAACCACTGAGCTATGGTGTAGTCGTCATTCCAGCAGAGACCGTTCAACGTTTTCTTCAGACTTCGTAACTCACACTTCCTGTGAATCCACACAGGCGGGTGGGACGCAGCCCTCACTGTAACCCACACACTTCACGTACAAACTAGCACGCGGGGAGCCCCAAGTCATAAAATATTAACTGGTTTGAGGGAAAGAGACAAACGGGAAAAGTCTGAAGAAAAAATTGACTGTCACCACCAGGATTATTATTATTATTATTATTTCAGAACTAAATATTCTGTATGGTTCGGCTGAAGAGCGCGTGGTTGTGATGAGTTGGGAATGCAATTATTATTATTATTATTATTATCAAATTTTTGATGGATGAACTCGAATGCCACCATGTACCAGGAAATGCCTGCAGCAATGCCTTCAGCTTTCAAAACGTGCACTTTCAACAACTGCACAATCAACTTTGTGAAGAAATAAAAAGCTTCGATGTGTTTGTTGAACTACAAGTAGAAGTGTGAGCTGAGCTGAGGCAAGCGAGTGAGTACACATGGCCAGTCTCATGTTTGTGGTGCATGCATGGTGTTTGGCCTACGGTGCCGGTGATGAATGTCGCAATACGGATACATGTACATGTATCACCAAGGGAGGGTGGGGGGGGGGGGGGGGGGGAGGGGGCATGTACTCTTGATATCACAGGGGGTACTCTTGGGAGGTTATGTACTCTTGCCAATATGAATGACAGTGTACCATGGTGTACGGTGATTGGATCGGACATGGGAAGTACATAGGTACTAGGTGCGCATGTACGGTAATACCAGTTTTTTTTTTTTTTTTTTAGCAATCCTGGTGATCGCGCCCGGTTGGACACATGTGCCTCGTAGTTTTTCGTAGTACCAAGAGTAGTGTTTATCTACTCTTGGTAGTACTGATCCCGAATTTTACGTGTGAAGGCAGTGTACGTTGATGAGTACATCAAATTAGGGAAGTATGCACGTAATAAATGTGTTATAGCCTCGTAGTACGGGCCGGCTACGATATCTGCCCTCACGTCTCCAAGATAAGAACACCTTGGGGCGGCATTCAAAAAATAGAGTGCTTATTCGAGTCTCCATTATAAGCACACTGTGTAAATTCATTATCTGTACGAGGTGAATTGCTATTTCTGGACATTGTACATTTCTGGACATTTCGAGTAAAATAATTTTTCGTCGCGTGTAGAATCAAGTCAGTTAGGTTGATGAACTTTTTTCTTGTTGTAGTTGACAGCTGGGCTGTTGTAGTTTCTCCTCGTGTCGGTGGCTTGTTGATAGATAGCCTTTTCTTGGGAGGCATTTCAACGAGTTTTGTGGTACTATGTCGCAAGAGAATTTTGAATTTTGAGTAAAATAAGAAGTAATGCCACTAATGGACGAATCGTTGGCTTCCCCATGTGCACTCCACTTCAGACGCTGTATAGTCTTGGACCTGCTGGCTGGAAGTGTGGAGAGGCCAACTGCAGTCCACCAATAGAAAAAATAACAAAAATGGTGCAGTATAGGATGCCTATTGACGCTATTTTACTTTCATGTCCAGAATTCCATACACTGAAATTTAGGCCAAAAAATTGGCCTGTCGAAAACATCCTGCTATAAAGTCTCTGGGATCACAGCATGAGCAATTGTCACATATTTGGAAAGATGAAGGATTAGGCCATACAATAGATACAAAAAGATATGAAAAATGAAAAACACACAGCCAGCTAGCTAGTACAGTATAGTGGGCCTCTATTTTATTTTCATGTCCAGAAATTGCGTACCGGCGAAAAAAAACCCTGAAATGTGTGTGTACGTGTCTGACATGAATTTGGCATGGCAACATGCCTCTGAAATGAGGTTGAAATAATAATGGAACAGTCTCCAATACTGGCAATAGGCAATAATAAAGGAACGTCTCTAGCACGCGTACGCGTGCACGGGGCGGAGGTACATTGAAAAAATAAAGGACCGTGCTTATAATTATTAGAGATAATACGGTACACAGGTGGCCTCCAGGCGCAGGGATCGCCTTTCTTACAGAGCCGTCGGTGTCTCTTCTGGGCTGTCCTGGTGTACTGTGCTGAGCATGAGGTAGTTTTTCTCACGAGCATAATCCCGAGTGCTCTCTTTGTTAGCTACCATAGTCCATAGTACTGCTGACAACTGCTTCCCGTGGTCTGTGGAGAGACACCAGACAACTAGCCCAGGCCAAAGCCGACTTGCGGACCAGCTTGCAGCCGCAAACTCCCAGCGAGTTTTGGACTGCCGAATATGTTGGTGCCGCGTATCCATAACTGATCGAGTTGCTGATGTCAAGAAGGGTGGGTGTTCGCTTTGGCTGGCCCGATCCGCACGTACCTGGTGTCAGGATAGCAGTGGTGTGGTTAGTGCAGCAGGAGGAACACAGCCAACACGCACTGGTCTGGGCCTCAGTGACAGTGGCTGGGATACTGTGAAGCTCTACTCCGACTCCCACTATCGGACAGAAGTGCAGAGGTTTCGCGTCAGCTCCTGGCAGTGTGAGTATTTCTGGACCAGGCGTTGTTTCACAGTGATATGAAGCCTGTTGGCCCAATGGGAGCCGGCACACGAGGCGCTAACTGGTAATTGGCATGATGTTAGAGTAAGTTAGATCTTGAAAATTCACGTCAAAGGAGCCAAGATCAAACTGAAAGGAGCCAAGATCACTGGCCAAACCTAGGTTGAGATTGTCGCATCCACTGCACCTAACGCAGGGGAGTAGCTGTTCCCCCTAACGGAACCTAGGTCGAAATAGTTAGGGGAGGGGGGGGGGGGTACGTGCCCCATGCGGGCTACGCGCCTGTAATGTTATAATTATGCAGGCGCGTGCCCCGTATGGGTTCCTGGGTGCCCAGAACCCCCTTTTTTTTTTCGCTCAAACTGCAGGATTTTGCTTCATTTTTTGAAATTTTCCCCGGGGAGGGCCCCCGGACTCTCCCCCCCCCCCCCCTTGAAGGGCGCAGGCGCCTGTTATGCATATTTGATGTGGGGAACCGGTGAACGAGGCGCTAGGTGGTCTTTAGATCTATCAACGTTGGCTGCAAAATTCAGCCAGCCTGCGTAGGCTTTCTGGGGAAATGCTGACATTCTAGAGCCATGCAGGACTTGCCCTCCTCTAGTTAGCAGCTGGCGAGCTGAACCCAAACATGCAGGTGGCAGCGCAACATGATACTTGTGGAGTAGTTCAGCCCTATGCAGTGAATGTATGCCTGCATTACTCCCAAGCCCAGCACCCGGCATGATACGCAAGCTTCATCCGCGCAGTACCCCACTCCCAGGGAGAATACTACCAAACGGCCATGGTGGCAGCTTTATCTGTGCCTTTATGCATCTCTGCCTCTGTGCCTATGTCTTGTGCAATCACAGTTGGACAACCTCATGTAAAGGCTGACATTCAAAGCAACAACTGCACCGGGGAATTGATGGTGGTTGCCGCGTGCGCATGCATCCAGGATGGCTTCACTTGTTCAGGTCACATGCCTTGTTGCTGCCACTCTAGCCTGCTTGGCTGCTGCTCAAGGTACGTACATGCCAGCCTGAGAGCAGGACATTAGCTGAAGATGAACCCAACGGTAGCTGTGCCCCTCCCAACCTTCTCTCTCCTCAGTCTACCTCCCACTTTCTCCTTCCCTGTGCTCTCCTCCCCTCCCCTTCTCTCTCTGAGTCTCCTTCTCTCCTGCCCTCCCTCCCCCCCCCCTTCCCTTCATTCCTCCCTCCCCCCCTTCCCTTCGTTCCTCCCTCCCCCCTTCCCTTTGTTCCTCCCTCCCTCCCACCTCTCTCTCTCTCTCTCTCTCTCTCTCTCTCTCTCTCTCTCTCTCTCTCTCTCTCTCTCTCTCTCTCTCTTTCTCTCTCTCTATCTCTCTTCTCTCTCTCTCTCTCTCTCTTCTCTCTCTCTCTCTCTCTCTCTCTCTCTCTCTCTCTCTCTCTCTCTCTCTCTCTCTCTCTCTCTCTCTCTCTCTCTCTCTCTCTCTCTCTCTCTCTCTCTTTCTCTCTCTCTTCTCTCTCTCTCTCTCTCTCTCTCTCTCTCTCTCTCTCTCTCTCTCTCTCTCTCTCTCTCTCTCTCTCTCTCTCTCACACACACACCCACCCGTACTCTCGCTCTCATTTTCTCTGTGTGTCTTGACGATTGCTTTTTCTTACCTGCTTCTCCATGCATTGTGTATCACTACAGTTGTGCATTCAGTTCCTACCCTGGACGCAACTATCTCGACACCTGATGGACCTGTATCAGTTACCCTCGGATCTCAAACCTTTCTCGCATGCAGTTTCCGCTCGTCAAATGGAACCTTCACAATCACGATAACACACGCCGGATCACCCGTCGAGTATCCCGTAATAATTTCAACCAATGCTTCTGGGCCTTCACAGCAGCAGCAAACGGCCATTATGCTGGTTGCCATGGTTTCTCCGGACACCGCCGGTCAGTTTGTGTGCACGGCACGTAACTATGCCGGTTCTAGCTCGGCTGCGTGGAACGTGCTTGTCGTGCCCAGCGGAATGGCTAGTGCGGGAACCACGGTCATGACAGCTTCTGCAATGCCACTATCAACAGGTATGTCCAGTCCATTGGTCACTAGATCTACGTGCTACTGTGAACTAGCGGCAAGCAAAACTCGGGGAGAAATCACAATTAGCAACTTTGCAGGCTCCTCTGCAGCTGAATACAGTGTATGTATATGGTTGAGAGCTTGTGCAGGTAGGCCAGGCGCGTAGCTGGCAGTGTTTCCAGGTTGCCCGGAAACCCCCTCCGCGGTTGCAGTGCAGACGACGAAACCTTTGACAACTACAGTGAAACTCCCCTGAGTGCAGGCATATGCAGTCACCGGAAGTACAAAGCGACAGTGCGGTGCACGCTGCACGCATGCACTTGAGTGAGGTGTGAAACTACATGCATGTTACTATCATGAGTGCTTCGTCCGCACCAACTAGCTGAACAACTACTGTCATTGTAAACGTTCTCTTTCATGTTGCCTTTTATATAAATACAAATTTCTTTGGATGATGTGAATGAACCCCGACACATTGACAATATGTCAGTAGTAACTTGTAGTCCCAGATGGGGCCTCTCAGGAGCTTGAAATATGAAGATACCCTAAAGCTTTTGAAGGAGGCTCTGCCCCAGCCCGCCCGCATGTGGCTCCACCCCCTTGACCCCGCCGGGGGACACCCCGGACCGATGTGATCTATCCTTAAAAAGGATAGATCACATCGTCTTAGCACACAATAGGCTATTTTTAGTCTTGTGCCATGCATTCCAATCCTGTTTTTTTTATACATGTATGGACTTTCTGTGTTCAATCTCCTGCACAGGCAACATCACCAATGGAACATCCACGTCCACACAGCCTGGAGACGAGACACCGGGCTTGGGATCGTCGTTTCAACTGGAGAACAGCGCCGTGGTGATCACTGGCCTCGGAGTGTTCGACGGCGTCCTTTTGCTGATGGTCATCTACTTACTGTGCTGCGGCCGACGGCCAGTGTACACACAGAGTGACGATAGCAAATTGCAATCAGTTGGCAAGGAAGTAGAATCACCACTAGTCAGTGAGTGCTCACCTGCCAACCTAGCTTCACCGAGCCATGCCGCTCGGCTGCGTGATGATGAGAAGCCGTCAGCGACTAAGAGCTCCGGTGCACCGAAAGCCTTGGCCGTACGCCGATCTGTATCCATGCCACTTACTCGAGGCACGGTTGGTCAGGTGTTTGATACAGCTGCACCAAACCACCAACCCTCGCCCAGTGGCCTGCGCAAGATATCGCAGAAGCTGAGCAAAGCTTCAAACTTTTACGAACAACTACAGGAGTCTGATGATGCACAGCTAGAGCAAACCGAAGGGCGTCAACAACCAAGGTCCCGAGAAGTCTATGTGAATGTAATGGCCGGCAGTGACAGTGCCATATCAGATTCCGCTGGTGGCCTCGGTGCAACACTTCAAGCCACTGACAGTTTACAAACTGGTGTTGTCAAGTCCAACCCACTGTACCAGTACAGGGACGAAGTCGAAGTGGGTGACGACCAGTTGGGACAAGGCTATGTGTCGACGTCGTCACACAGGAAGATCTCTGAGAGAGTACCAGATTCCAGTGTATCGAATATCACCAATGCGGGCTACGGCGCTCAGGCTACCAGCATATCTACCATCCAGGTGACTCCGTTCAGAACTAACGCATCGTCGCAAGTCAGCCTCTCGCCAGCTGGAAACGACGTGTTTTTCACGGCGGCTAAGCTCGGCACGTACCCGAGCACTCCGTCCTATACGTCCTTCCCAAGTGGCGGCATGGACTTCTCGGCAATGGAGATGCAAGATGTCGACCAGTGGGCTCAGTCTCGGCATATGACAGATTCTGGTCCCAGGCTGCCACCGCCCGGTCAAGAGCAGCGACAACACTATGCATCGCTGCCTGCTGCCAGGTCAGGTCAAGATGAAGACGGCAAGGGACGCACGGCCAGGAACACGCACACCGAACGGTGAATGTCGCACACACTGCAAAGCATACCGCAGCAATAATTCTCATACAACACGCACTACACGTACTAAGCAACGCGCATCCCCCTGGCCGTCAGGTCAGTGTCACACTGAGTTTGCCGCTAGGATATCATCAAGAGTACGTAACCCCCGGGGGGTTATGTACTCTTGATATCATGTAACCTGAGGCCCAGTGGTAACAGTCCGTCTTGAGCAATGGCTAAGGTTTCATAAACCTGTTGCCAATGCGGATAGGCGAATACATGTATTGTTATAACGTTAATGCACACACATGCCAAATGCATCTTGAAACGTACACTCCAGATGACTGTATTGCATGCCATGCTCTGTGTTTTGAAGTTGACATAGTCACATTCGCTTGTCCCTGGCTAACGTGCTGGCCGTATGCACTGTATAGTTCACAATTCTTTTCTGTTGTGTCAAAACCACGGCTCAAACGCACACACACACGCCGTCTTATGGATACTGTATGACCTAACGTTAGTGTACTGCCGCATTTCTTTCAATTAATTATCATCCAATCCGTTCTAGAACATGTCACAAGTAAAGCCAGTTAGTTCCACTCACTTGACTCCTCTTGAAAGTATTGCATAACTAAGTTACTTGTAGGCATACAAGCACCGTGGCAACATGGCACGAGCTTTGAGTTTGAGCTGCAGACGGACTCATAACAATCATTATGCGATGAATTTGTTATCCTTTGGCTCCAACTGATCGCCTTGATTTTATGTGTTTTAAATGTTGGTCATTTTCAATCAAAGCAGGCGCAGGCCCTGTTGCGGCCCCTTTCCCCCGGAGCTGCAGGATAGTACCTCAAAGCACATGTATGGTATTGCTGGATACTGGCTGGGCCGCTGTAGCCACGTTTCTGTGCCTTCTTGCGGATGGGTTCACGGGTTGTTTGTTGCGGTTTGTTTGTATTCTTTGTGTAGAGTGGGAAGTCCAAAACAGGCCCTAGCCTAATAACAATAGTCCCACTAGTGAGGGACCATTTGGACCATTAAAGAAATTTGGCTCACGGGTTCAACAGCATGGGGATTAATACGTACAGACCGTTTATAGGGACTGGAGCCCCTATGGAGACCATGGGAACTACAGTCACCGTAATTACGATTGTGATCAATACAACTGGAACCAGGATTCATATTTAATATGGAGAAAGATCAAAGCCGTTTTAAAAGGCACTGGCAAATACAACATATCCAGAACAGAAAGAGAAAGAAAGAAGGCAGAAGAAACCGATACAATCACGGTAGCGCAGGATTGTCGGAACCAGGGAGTACCCTGGTCGGAACACACCTTCGCTCGCCCTGTACGGTGACAGTGTACCATGTACTGTAGCTTTTCACAAAACCGGGGCCGGGCTGTTTGCAAGTGCAGCCAAATACCATGGAAACGATCCATGGCGTCAGATTTCTCGGGGGCCGGGGGTTCCCCTGACGCGGTACGAATCCAAAAAGACCAAAAATCAGAGCCAATTTCTTTAGCTCCAAAGTAGATTGTGTTGTTTCCCTACGTCTGGCACATGAAGAAAGCAGTTTCGTAGTGATATTCGGCCTGCTCCATGGCTTGCTTGTCGGCTCTATCTCGCCGGCTGAACGGCTCGTGCTGCCCGAGGTTGTGCTCGCTCGGAGTACGATTGGAGCACGATTTGACCACTGATGTGCCAACGACAGTTGGTAATGTTCCTTGGGTGCCTCCTCCTGTTCCACCAGCCACATCCCTGTATGTCTGGGGTTGCAACTTAGGCGGTACGTCCATCTCGTGGGGATCGCATACAATGTTGTGACTTTGCTAATTTATAATTTCATTACGAAATTTTGCATAGCATCTGGAAAAAAACTGGTTCATACTCCGACATTTACAAATTGCTTGCACTTTGCACACTCCAACTTCGAGAGGGGAAAGAAATGAAATCTGAGACGAGTGTAAACAAAATCCTTGATTGATATACATGTAGTAAGCGCAAGGAGCCTTCTGTAAATTTCACGCCTGCGATAGGGCCGTCGCCAGACTGCACGGCGAGTTACAAGGCGAGCACACAGTGTGCATGTACAGTGGCGCTCACTGAAACCCGTGCCAAACTGGCACCCTTCGGGTCGGATTTCAGGTTACATCACTGTCCTTGTACATATGTACGTCCAGCTAGCTGCATTCGCACCACTTGCAAGGTGCCGAGGGCCGTGAAGTTGAGGGCGCCGAATATGTACTCTGGGTCGGATTTCACAGAGCGCGACTATGCATGGTGTGCGATGTACACCAGAGAAAGCTGTATGCATGACGCATGTACCACTGTACAGCATTGCCTCCAGGTGATGTTTTTCTGCTTGTCGCCTCTCATTTGCGGCTTTACTGTCAAGTACCAGTAATGTAAATAAACAAAAAAACAAAAACAAATGTAGACAACAGTAGTGGCAGATTATTCCTGTGACCAGACGAGATCACACGACGCTTGCAGACACCGGCAACCACAGTGACTCCACTGTCACTTGCCTTTCTACTTTGCAACCAACTTCGGTCACCACTCCAGTATCCTCTGTGACGTGTTAGTTGTAGCGCAAAACTATTTTGTGCACCTATCTTTCTCCTTTTTTTTCTTCTTTTTTTTTAAAGCTGTCAATAAAGCCTCTTTTAAGGGCAAAAATTAACACAATGGATAAAAATGCAATACAACACACACTGGAGAAGAAATCAGAAAAGTGCATGTGTAAAATAAAGATTTTCATTTTTTCATACCCAAACCAAAAAAATTCAAATCTAATTTTTTTATCCCATCCTTCTCCTTGTGATTGTCTTAGGGTGCGTTCTTAAATCCTCTCGGAAAAGTTGGAGACTCTCCGAAAAGTTCGAGAGCTGTTCTTATATCCTCTCCGACTTTTAGGAGGCTCTCCAAAGCTCTCCAAGCTCTCCAAGCTTCAGAGGTGGTTGAAACTTGGAGATTCCCGCGGTTTGGGATCAGCGCATGCGAACTACGACTAAAAGGCACGTGTTCATCATTAGTGTACGCATTTCCCTTTTCGCATACGCACACGTGCATTACTACATTCATCACTCAAGATCGCGGCCCCTTTGGCGCTTCATTTTGCTTGACATGTGCAAAATATCTCCGAATTCTTCGAGACCCGTTCTTGAGTAATCCCAGTTTCTTCGACTTCTCTTTTCTTCTTCTTCTAGAAGCTAGAGAATATAAGAACGCACCCTTAGCATTAAATTTTGTGATAGTTGTGTCTGGTAGAATCCATAACACCTCCATTCTGCACTGCTCTTTTCGTGTTGGCTTGTGACATGTGCGAGTTAGCTGAGTATACACGCCTTGCGCCACTATCTTCTATAAAACAGTATTTTTAGTTCAACCCCTTTCATTCAATATCTGCTTCTCCTCTGATGAGTTCCCATCATCCCATTTTGGAACGAAACGAGGCTTGTCAGGGATAACTACAAACTGTCGTGGAGTGTGGCTGGTGAACTGTTTGTGCGGGTGTCTGCAAGCGTCGTGCGATCTCGTCTTGTCACAAGAAGAAGCTCTGAACCTATCACTACTCTGAATGGAGCGACCGAATGAAGATGGCATCAACTAGTAAAATAAAAGACATTGCTTTCTAGCATGCTCACAAGCCAGTCTCCCATCTCCTGTATGGATGCACCTGGGTGTGTCACTGTGTGTGTGTGTGTGCGCGCGCGTGGATCTGTGTTTTTTTTCTTTTCTTTTTTTCTTCATTTTTCTACAAAACCACTTATCTCCAGACACTGAAGTGAACAATGGAGTGTTTGTGTGTTTGTGTGTCTGTGCATGCACGGCGCAGGCATGCTGGCCGCTAGGGAGCACACGACGGCACGCATCTCCACACCGGAGGTGTTCCCCATGGCGCCAGTCAACCTGCGCCGCCCATACCAGCACGTCGCGTGCGGCGTGGACTTCACGCTCGTCTCAACGCCGCGCGGCAAAGACTACGTGTACATGGGCAGCAATGCCTACATGGCACAAGCACTCAACCTAGCCGGTGCTGTCTGGGCTAACGAAGATGTCAAGGATCGCAATCTACCCATGTATGATCCGGAGCAATCCGACGAGTACTTTCATACCGGTGAGCCATGCATGGGTAGTACCTACTCGAAGTACAGTTGTAGCATGTGAAATACTGACCGATGGCTGTTGTTGATGCACGTACTTGGTTTTTGAGGTGGCTTGCTGAGCGCGCGCGTGTGTGTGTGTGTGTACGCGTGTGTGTGTGTGTGTTTGTACATGGTGTGTGTGTGTACATGTGTGTATGTGTATGTTGGTAATTGCAGGTTGCGGTGCCTATCAGCTTCACTGTCAGTTCTGGCGATACACGGGAATATCGAAAATGGCTGCCGGTCGTGCTCATGCCATATTCCTGTCAGAGAATGGAGACCTGTACTTTGCAGGTCGGCACGACGAACTGTCGTATCCGATCCCGAAAGATCTGGTGAGTTGCTGATATCCTGTTAGTATCTTCAAGTAGCTTTGCCATAACCCCATTGTGCATTGCCAAACATAGAAGGTGTGAGTAATGCATGTGAGTACGATCATGTAACGTTATGCTGGGATCAGGGGTGCACTGTTCAACACCCGACACGAGGGAGTAGTAAAATACCTACTCCTTGCCCCCCCCCCATACACACACACTGCACACAGCCATGCCCAGGTGCAGATTGCTGCGCTGGGTGTTGGTGGTAGTCATGGTAATGACATCCCAGGTATGTCATTGGCACATTGGGCTCACCAGTGTACACACAGCAGTACAGTTTGTCTGCTTTGGGTAGAGTTGTACCAAGAGTACATAACCCCCCAGAGTGTGCAACGCCTGATCCAGGTCTGCATAGGGTCTTGGTCGAGCGTAATCGGATCTTTGCGTCATAATACCGTACACATCTCAGGGGAACCTGGGGAGTCGCGGGTACTCTCGGATCAAAAACCATGGTGCCCTGCCTCGAGACCGGCCTTGCGCTGGTGTGGAGTGTACGCATGACATCAGAAGATCCGATTCCGCTCGACCAAGACCCTATGCAGAGCTGGATCGGCGTTGCACACTCTGGGGGGGGGGGGGGGGGTTATGTACTCTTGGTAGTACTTTGGAAGCTGCCCATGCCTCTGTTTGGGGTTTGTAACTGTCTGGTGAGGTAGACTTTGTGATAGAAGTGTTCAATCCGCAAATCTGTATTTTTGGAACTCCCCCCCCCCCGTCCGAATTTTGGAAGTGACGTTCTATGAGAGCTACATGTATGTCACGTATAACGACGTGGTATGTGTACGTGTTTGTGTGTTCACATGGTGATGTGACAGGTGGAGACCAAGGAGGGACAGCTGGACTATCGCTTGCTGGCACCGTACACAGTCGGCGCCGATGACGCGGAGTTGCGAGAAAGCAAATCCGTCACCGCGTATGCCGTCACCCAGGGCTTGCAGCGCCTAATGCACAGCAAGGACGTGGCATTCAGAGACGTGGGTACACACAGTGTGCTATGTATGGTTCATCCTGCAATGTTTGAATTCGAGCTGGCGACTGCATCCGACATTGTTTCTTGTGTTTCCTGTGCTTGAATAATATCAGTTGTCAGTAACACGTCTCTGTCTTGGTCTCTCGCTATGTATTTAGTGTACTTGTATGCGTATGCGTATGTGCATACATGCACTCACTCATGAGCACGCCTGCATACACGTCCGCGCGCGCACGCACACACACACACACGCACGCCACTTCACCTGTCCTCTTTCGCGCTCTACGTCTCTCTGCAGGTTGCTTGCGGCCTAGAACATACATTAGTTACAGACTATTACGGATTCCTGTACTCCTGGGGGCTGAACACTGATGGCCAGGTATGTAGTGTGAGTGCGTTGTCACAACATGCCAATCACGGAATTCCAGCTATAAGTACACCTACTTGTCTGTACTACTGGCACGCTGTATCTCAAGCCTGTGGCCGTTGTGTCAAGTTGCACTGTGGGCACTGCAACTTAAATTAGACTGTGAATCACCTCAGGGTGGTCTTGTAGTTTTCACTTTAGTTTTAGAAAGCCAGTACCGTAGTCATATTGGGTATCCAAGCGTGTCTCTGCACGTTTGCAGGCATTGCGCAGTTTGTTGGAGTACGGTGTTCATTTGTACCATGATGTCTTATTTTGCCGAGTGCACAGCTACAGCGGTGGTGGTGGCGGTGGTGGTGGTATCATTCTGTGTTGGTGTTGTGTTTGTTCTCCCGTTTTCTTCGTCTTTGTCTCGACGGTGGCAGTGTGGGCGCGGTACAGATGAATTGAACTGTGGGTTTGGTCTGGTGGAGGGCCCCATGAGCAAGGTAAGATTTAGGAGCTCTTCTTGCACATTCCTTGCTTGCTGCATTTCAGTATCGTGTGTGTATTAACTATTTGTGCGTGTGTGCGTGTTCTTTATGACTGTCACTGAAGTCAATCATAGCCAGAGGGGCTGGTGCCTGATGCTAATGCTATGAGTTGTGTTTCAGTACAGTACTGTCGGGCGCCGAAGAACAGACCAGCGAAGAACGGCCGGGCTAGAATTTCACCAATTTTTAAGAACGGTGTAGGCTGGATTTTTTTGCAGATAAGAACGGAAACCGTAATATACACTATAATGTACACTCGACGTATAAGTCTGCATAAATGTACATGTCAGACTGTACCATCGAATAAGAGCGAAACTGCTGTGTTCGCTAAAAATAAGAACGGGCTAGGCTAGAACCCTGACCCCGTTCTTCGGCGCCCGGCAGTACTGTAAGGCAACAGTATTACATTGGTGCAGTGCTGTTATATTTCCATTGTTGCATTTAGTCCTGTGTGTTCGCGTGTGCATGTACTGTACTGTGTATATGCGGGGGAGGGCGGTATGTGTCAATCTTCTGCTCTGGAGATCACCAGGGTGTAGGCAATAACACAGTGTTTGCTGCTCCCCCTGCATGCCTGCTTGCAGGTGGCAGTACGTGCTTTGTCGACTTGTGCCGACAGCTGCATAGCTTTGGACAAGCTTGGCCGGCTGTGGACGTGGGGAAACAACGAATATCACCAGCTGATGCTACCCACCGATGAGCCGCAGGTACTGTGGACACATTGACACGGATCAATTGATCATGTTCAATCATATTCGAAATCGAATGGCATTGTGAAGCTTTCAAAGTTGGTAGGGAACTTGTACCATTAATGTGCAATGCGGATGCATGAACTTCACACTAATGAAGTTGAACCATGGATCATTGGCACTCATCCTGTCATCTCGATTCTTGTTGAAAGCATGGAAGACTAGTCCTTAGTAACACTGAGTTGGCATTCTTGTGAACAGTGAGGCCTAGCTTTAAAACTGTTCACATTGGCTTCTCGGAGACACGCTTGGCTTGGCAAGAGATCTGGATATCCGAAATCATGTCAGGATGTGCCTGTAAGATCTGCCCCATCCAAGCTGGCTCTCCGCTGCTGAGGGGCCTGGGCATGAGAAGATCGGACGAGTGGGGTCTGCATGTATTCTATCCCACTATCTTGTTGCTACTGCTGCTGTTGCTACTGCTGCTGCATCTCCTGATTGCTGCTGTTGCTGTCGCTGCTGCCACTGCTGCTGCTGTTGCTACTGCTGCTGCTGTTGCTGCTGCTGCTGCTGTTGCCACTGCTGCTGTTGCTACTGCTGCTGCATCTCCTGATTGCTGCTGCCACTGCTGATGATTGCTGTTTTCTGTTCAGGTGCGCTCTCCGACTTTAGTGGATAAGCTGCACTTGCAGTCCGCCATCGGAAATGACAATCGTGTCGTCAACGTCGCTATGGGAGGTACGTTCGTCTTGAAAAATAATTTTGCATTCGTGACGAGTAGAACAAGCTGAAGTGTGGTATTTGTTTGATTGTTTGCTCGTTTGCACGACCATACCAATTGAATTCTGCGTACAGGTGCGTTGTTCGTCTTGAGAAATAATTTTTCATTCGTGACGAGTAGAACAAGCTGAAGTGCGGTATTTGTTTGTTTGTTTGTTTGCACGACCATACCAATTCTGCATACAGGTGCGTTTGGAGCACTGCTGGACGTCGACGGCAAGGTTTGGACGTGGGGGTGGGGTGCCGGTCTGGGCCAAGGCGTCGACAACAAGTTAGCTCGCTGGCCGAGAAAAGTCGACTTGCCCGGTAGAGCCACTAAGGTGAGACTACCAATTCTCAGAGCAGAACGAACACGCATCAGCTGTCTCTCCCTCTACATTTTCCACTTGGCTGTACCTTGCTAGAGTGGGTATTCTTTAAAACTATTTTTCTTGTACAACTCACGGACTGTACTTTTCGTGGAAGAGAAGGAGATGCGTTGAGACTTGAAGCACTTTCTTTCAGTCAGGACTCAGGTGCAATCACTTGCCAGTGTGGTGTTTTGTTGTTGTAGATCAATGCCACAAACATGCAGGAGATGCTCTGGACTGGTCTGACCTAACTTGTTCTGCTTCCTGCCTTGCTCTTCTGGATCAAACCTTTCGTTGTAATTTTTTGTTTTTGTTGTTCTCGGTCTGTAGATCGTGGCGGGTATAAACAACATGGCAGTCATCATGGAGGACGGCAGCATGTATGCGTGGGGTGCGGCTATTCACGACAGCGTTCCCGTGCGGGCCACACCAGGTGCCGGCGAGCACCAGCAGATCGAGGCCGCCGCCAGCAGCAGTCAGACTGGCGATGCAGCGGCGCTCGTTGATGCAGAGGCGATGACGAAAAGCGTTTGGGCGCCGCGTCTCGTCGACTTTGACTACCCGGTGCTGGACTGCGCGGTCGGACCACACCACATGGTGGCGCTGGTGGAGGAAGTGGAGATCTGAGACCAGACTGTGCACCACAACGTGTTCGAAAACGGACACCTGGAGCAGAACACTGGGATAAGTATCTTGAGATGAAGTTCAGTCCACAACAGTCCAGCCATGTAGGCATTTGCCAGAGCAGCTCTGACTTTCAACTTCTTGCCAGAAGGATACAGTCATAAGTGATTGGTCAACAACCCAATAACCCAGTAGCTGCAAGTCCTGCAAAGTGATGGCTTGGCTTTGTGCAGCTACGCCGGAGTGGAGTGCTGGGGACATTGATGATGGGGGTGACAGCATGGCTTGAGAGTACCCCTGCGATGAGCATCAGTAATGACATCATCACATGGAGACTGTGTCAGTATGACTCACAGGACAGGGATGTGTGGTGGCGGTGATGTCATCGCCTAGAACTGGCTCTAGCATCAGTAGTAACGGACGACAGCAAACAACTGTAATGATTATGTTACTATGACGATGCTATGGTGTTGTTGTGAGTACAGACGAATAGCTGTCTTGACAACGTTCCGCTGTCCTATTGCAGTAGCTGTATGTGCTGCTGCTGCTGCTGGAATAGACTAACCCCAACTGCTACCGACAGCCATTCATTGTGTCAGCAGTTTGTAGTACAAACAAGTGACAATCATACAGAAATGCAGTAAGCAGTGGACATGCTTGCAGTGCCAGTACTCTTGGCGGCCTAGCCTACTCTTCCTCTTGCAGTACTGCCTTTCGCTGTCACTGCCCTCTTCATGCTTCTCTGGCTAGATAAGAGTGGCTATTCTGATGCAGCTATCACCACCACCTGGCTGTGCCTGGCAGCTACAGCTTCATTTTCAGCTATTACTTGGCTTGGTATCGTGCCACCTACCTTGCCCTGCACAGCCCACTCGGTTTGCCGAGTCCGTGCTTTTCTACCGTGCCGAGGAATTTTATGAGCTGGCCCTGTTTTTTTCTTTCCCCTCGGCCTGCATTCCCAAAGCATTCAACGGGTACTGATGTCGTGTAGGCTTCAGAAATTTATGTTTGATTCTATTTTCTGAATAAATTTATGACCAATCAAATAATGGTATTCTGTGCTGATGAACCAAGAAGCTGGCGGAAATCATTCAACAAAAGCTTTCAAAATGAAAAAAATTGATAATAGAACGTGGCAAGCCGTTTTGGGCAGTTTCGACATGATTGTCATGTTAGAAAAAATGAGTAGAAAACATTTCTAAAAAGAGCATCGGTCGACTTGTTTCACAGTGTTGGACTGATCTTACCGGCTTTGAGAGGAGTAAAATAAAAATGGTCTTAGTATGAAAAGAAATGAATCCAACCATCATCTATGCACACAATTAAAAACTTCTTCCAAAAAAAGAAAAGGGCAACATTCTAAGCAAATGTACAAGTAGAAGAGCAAATATACCGAAATCCTGTCACCATATATGCCATGTCTTCCAAAGAAGAAAGAAGACTGGGCAAGTTGACATTGCAAGATGAAGGTGAAGATGATTCAAGCGGAACGCACACCATATTCAATGCACTACATGGCTCTACATACGCTCACATGCTAACATCTCCATCTGACCCGCAGCAGGATGTACTAAGAAGTAGAATAAAAAGGCTAAACAGATGTAGACGGTGGCACTCATGAAGTTTCAGGTCAAGTGGAGAAGGCGTTCATGAAGTTTGAGGAGATTGTTTAGCAGCTATCTTGCTTGTGGGCTGGTGCTGACAACCTCCGTCTTGGAGGAGAGAAGTGCAACAACAGGTTTCTTGTGAGGCACACGTCTGTTGGTACACGTGCGTGCGTGCGTGTGTGTGTGTACATGTGAACATGCGTTGGTTTCGGTGAACGCGGCCAGTCGAGCCAGAACGCAACGTAACCCAACGCTCCACTCACCGACAACGCACATTGGCACGTTGAGGTCACTCCTCGGAGCGCCCGTCCTCCATGCCACTCGCAGTCTCAGCGTTCGCCACCTGCCTGAAATGCTCCATGGCTTTCCTGGCGCAGGCTATCTTTGCCGTGTACTTGCCCTCAGCCACCACGCAGAAACTCACCGACGGGCCAGTCTTCAGCTCGACTGTGCAGGTCATGCGAACTCTACGTCCTGTGTACTCCGGACTGCAGACAATACAGGAGACAATACAGGAGACAATACAGGAGACAATACAGGAGGAAGTAGACACCAATCAGCAGCAGTGAGCCAGTGACACAAGCAAACTAACTGTTAAAGGGGAAGTTAAGGCAAAAATTAAAATTTCACCAGTTGTAGTCTTCGGGGTGCTGAGTCGAATGGTCGTGGTCCGAGGAAGCTGAGACGCTCCCTTCCTACTTGAATCCCAATCGAACTCGCGCACTTCCACAGAAACTGGGTGACTGCGCCCTACGAGATGGGGATTTGTATGCAAAATGTCACTAAAAGCGCCATTTCGTTCTTATAAAAGCACGGATGACCGCGATTGGCCCATATGTTGTAGTCTTTTGGACGCTGAGTCGACTGGTTTTGGTCCGAAAAGGCTGCAATGCAGCGTTCCTCCTTTATTCCCAATCGAACATGGTTGAAGAAGCGGTCACGTGCTCCTGGGTGCCAAAATCACCTGGTCACCACGCCAGCAGGCGACAACTTTCACACCAAGGTTCAACTCGAGTGACAGGACTGCACCCAAAAAAGGTCAAAACAGGCTGTAAGTTGTACCCTGCAGGCACGGTGACCAGGTGACTGGTGTACGCAGGAGCACGTGACCGCTTGTTCAACCATGTTCGATTGGGAATTAGGGGCGAACGCTGCATCGCAGCCTTTTCGGACCAAAACCAGTCGACTCAGCGTCCAAAAGACTACAACATATGGGCCAATCGCGGTCATCCGTGCTTTTATAAGAACGAAATGGCGCTTTTAGTGACATTTTGCATACAAATCCCCATCTCGTAGGGCGCAGTCACCCAGTTTCGGTGGAAGTGCGCGAGTTCGATTGGGATTCAAGTAGGAAGGGAGCGTCTCAGCTTTCTCGGACCAAGACCATTCGACTCAGCACCCCGAAGACTACAACTGGTGAAATTTTGATTTTGCCTTAACTTCCCCTTTAAGCAAGGCTCGGCAACGCATTGATAAAAATCAAGAAATCAAAATAAACTTCGCTGTTCGCGTGAGACTCGCTCGGCTAGACTAGATGCAGAGGGTTTCGCGTCTAGGAACGCCCCCACCCTCAAGAATCAAGGCGCAGATGCAGCTCCTAAGTGCCCGGTTCCACTGGGGCTCCGCTGCACGTCACCCGCGGCATGAAACGTCATCGTTACCATAGTGTTGTGAATGGCGTTGTCATGGGAAACGTCTTCAGTGAATGTGTGTCAGATCTCGTCATGACTGTAACTCCTACTTGATTCCCTGGCTAGGTGCTTCTATGCTAGGCTATGCTATGCTTGATTTGTTTTTGAATTCTTTCTTGAGCATTGACTTTATTGATTTGTATTTGACCGGTTTTACCTGTATTTCTTTTCCAGTTCTTCTTCTCTCTTGCTTCAAAACAGTCACGTAATTTCTTTCGTCTCCTTTTCTATCTTGCATATCTTCTGTAATCGTTCGTGCCATGTAAATAAATACTGGTCGGTCTCAGTTCCTGGAACTTTTGAGTGTAAGATACACAACATTTTGGCGACCACGCCAGGATCCGAGACCCATGGGGGAAATCGAAGCTAATCTGATCGCGAACGGTCAAGCGTATGGCTACACTGGAGAAAGCCTGCGTGAATATGTAGAGGAGCGGATCCAGAAACACGAGGAGAGAGAGAGCGCGACGCTCGAGCAGAGGAGAGAGAAGAGAGGAGACACAATGCGGAGCTGCGGCAGAGGTTGGCAGAGTTAGAGGAGCGAATCACACAGTTCAGACCCTCTAGAGTCGTCAGCAGCATTCTGGATAGTAGTGCCATCACGAGGAAGCCAGCCATCATGATGCCTATGTTCGACGGTAAGCAAACGGTAGAGTCCTACCTTGAGTTATTCGAGGACGTGGCGGCACAGAACGAGTATAGTGAGGACCAGTACCTCGCTGAAGACGGTATGTCCTATCAAACCGCCCATGGTCGGAAGACGAAGACGACGAAACCGATCAGGGGTGAAGAGCAACAATTCGCGTCGGCAGAGTGTCTGACTGTCGAGGTCGAGTTGTCGGGTCCAGCTATGTGCGCTGCCCAGCCACCGGCCGTCAGTGTCAGCTGTGTCGAGATAGACCGTCCGTGGAAAATGGAAGAATTTCCCGAAGTTACTAAGATGTTACCCGACTTCCCGATTGATCGTTGCGGTACATTCTACCAGGTAGGATTGCTGTGGCAATCGGAGAAGCGCCCCCAGACAACCTCAACCAAGCGATTGCAGCGGCGCAAGCGCTACCGAAGCAGTTGGAGCGCAAAGGTCAGCGGACAGCGTATGATGAAGTCCTGATCAACGAGTACTCGGCGTTGGACGCCATCGAGAAAAAAGCCACACCCAGAGAGTGCTGGTTACTACATGCCACATCACAGAGTATTCCGCCACGACGCTACGATAATGAAGACACGAGTCGTCTTCAATGCGTCGGCTGCGTGCACCGGAGCAGCATCGCTGATCAACATGGTCGATCCCGGTCCGTCACTGCTACCAGATCTCACCGGTATCCCGTTCAGGTTTCGTGAGTATCCGTCCGCGTGTCTTGCTGCGAAGTTGTTGTCATTTGTTGTCAACGAATTGAGAGTGCCGATTCAGAAGATTGTGAGTTGGACCGACAGTCTCACAAGGTGGCCCTGGATACTCGGCTTAAATTGTGATTCAGTTGACTGAAGCCCTTTGGTGGGGAGAATGTTGTGAATGGCGTTGTCATGGGAAAGGTCTTCAGTGAATGTGTGTCAGATCTCGTCATGACTGTAACTCCTACTTGATTCCCTGGCTAGGTGCTTCTATGCTAGGCTATGCTATGCTTGATTTGTTTGAATTCTTTCTTGAGCACGTATCATATTATTACAGGGTGCGACAGAGCTCTCGGCCCTATAATAGCAGTTTGGTCTATATTTTTAATCATTCAACATCTACCTTCACTGATGAGCTATGTATTAGTAGCGATGTCAGGGTAAATTTCTGTTTTGAGAATCGGGCAAATATTGTAATACCATCCGATTCCTGAAGACAAGTAGAGTATACTGGCAAAGTTTGAAGCAAATCGGAGCAAATATAGTGGACTTATTCCAGTTTAGAGTGCGCGGGGTAAGCGCCGCCATTGTCGAAAAGCACCATGCCGCACTGTACACAAACCAGATCTCACCACGGCACAAAATCGGTCTTGACAACAGGGATCGCGGCTCATGAATAATCTTGCGCACTGTACAAAATGTACATACCGTAGCTGTACTGTTTTTTTTTTTTTGTTGCTGCAAACTGTTGGAGAAATTCAAGAAGACTGTTGAAGAGTAGCCGAAGTATGAGTTGTGATTTGACCATTCTCCAAGACAAGAAGAGTTCGACAAGTAGATTATGATCCTGGTGGTGGTCCGCTTTGAACTTCATCAGTTCTAACACCAATGCATTTGAAACGTTTCCGATCATGCCAGGCAGGGGCTTATCCTGCAATAACTGCTCCTCCTTGAGTCCAAGACTCGACAAAACATCTTCACCGCCAGTCCCTTTGCTGGACGAACACTCATGATGGCGGTGTATCCAGCAATGGAGTACCTGTCGCGAAAAATACTACAAGTCTGGTGCGCGGCGTGATACGCCGGTGAAACTTGGCAGCAAACTAAATTGGACGACGGGGAACACGATGGAACTAAAATCAAACGCGTATCAGGCAGCGCAAGAGATGAAAAAGGCGACTGAACATACGCTAACTTGTCGGCGGCCATACTCCCAGCTCCGTAGGCGCAGCGCGCCCGCACAAACGCGGATACGAAAGTTCATCTTCTATTTTCGTGGCAATAGTCACGACCAAGCTTGTCACTGACGTCTTCAGGTCACATTTGAATATCCCGCGTGCCAAGTACTGCACGCTCTGGCCGCGACTGGCATTCTGCCGTACTGACCTTTTGTGCCATCATTTCAGCTGGTTGCTAGGGAATCCAGCGACAAGCGTGGAGGTCACGTGGCACGGCACTCTGACATCGCTAGTATTAGCGAAACAGCTGTCTGAAGGAGTTTATCAATATTGTCTACGGAAGTGTCCTCGCAATGGTGATGGTTGTGTGCAGGAGGGTCTAGTCGGCTAAAGAGCGCAGTGTAATGGTGGAGGTGACTCAACATTTTCTTTCTTGAGCATTGAATTTATTGATTTGTCTTTGACCTGTCTTCCTGTGTCTACGTGACTTGCTGTGCAGTATCCTTGATCGTTGTGTTAGGCAAGTGCCCAGATGTCGTAACATCCATGCTGGATTAGTCAGTACACTGCTCTGCTGCACTATTTGACGATGTAGTTACGTTCCTTTATTTCGCTTCGCACTCGTAGTTTGAATTTGTTGAGTGCACGCACGGCGTATTTTTTGTGTTTAGTTTAGTTGACGTCGTGAGGTACTAATTTGGCTACCCGGACTGTACGAACTCTACTCAGGCGCGATCGAGTATCGATCTGGCTACATTTTTGGCGCTTGTGCTTTGACAGTCCGTTTACTTGCGTTTCTTTTCCAGTTCTTCTTCTCTCTTGCTTCAACACAGTCATGTAATTTCTTTCGTCTCCTTTTCTATCTTGCATATCCTCTGTAATCGTTCGTGCCATGTAAATAAATACGGGTCGGTCTCAGTTCCTGGAACTTTTGAGTGTAAACATACACAACACATAGTGACCGTGGCTTGAGCTGGTGCAGCGAGGCTGCGGCTCACCACAAGCTTTCACTACGATTCTTGATCAAAAACTGCGAGCCGCGATTGCGGCTCGACCTATTTCCCGTACTTTGCATTGTTTTGTACGCGATAATTTTAAATTTTAAATTTTCATTTGTTGCGCAGGCCAGAACACGAGTACTAACTTATCACTCTCTACGAGTACTAACTTATCACTCTCTACGAGTACTAACTTATCACTCTCTACGAGTACTTACGTGAATGACACACCAAGGCCAAACCGTTCGTACAGCAGCATGATGGGGCTTTTCAATGTGCCGTCTCTAGCTTTCTGAACTGCATCATCTGAAATTGAGTGCAGTGTGTGCGTGTGGGTGAGAGAGAGTGAGTGAGAGAGAGAGAGAGAGAGAGAGAGAGAGAGAGAGAGAGACAGAGAGAGACAGAGAGAGAGAGATAGAGAGAGAGAGAGAGAGAGAGAGAGAGAGGGAGAGAGAGAGTAAGTTACATTTATAAAGACAGGTAAGTCTAACAAATGAGGACTGAGACCTCTACAACAGGGTTTTTACGCCTGAAAGCAGGTGCATGATTTAACAAGCAGGTTGTCAGTCTAGATTTTATGCGCAGATGGAGAAAAAGCGCAGAATTTTTGTAATGAGATGAAAAGCAGAAATAATAAGAAATAATAAGAAAAGATGAAATGAAAGCCTGCTCACAACCCCGCCCAGCCTTGCGAACTGGGTATGGTGGATTAAGAACCCGGTTCAACGCTCGAGCAAGCGCTCTCCACTCAAGGTGCTCACAGCAACTGATAGGAACTCATATGGGGAAATTATAGAAAAGAAATAATAAGATAAAGAGAATAAATTTCAACGCACCTCAATAAACGGAGCCCCACATACAGTAGAGAGAGAGAGAGAGAGAGAGAGAGAGAGAGAGAGAGAGAGAGAGAGAGAGAGAGAGAGAGAGAGAGAGAGAGAGAGAGAGAGAGAGAGAGAGAGAGAGAGAGAGAGAGAGAGAGAGAGAGAGAGAGAGAGAGAGAGAGAGAGAGAGAGAGACAGAGAGAGAGAGAGAGAGACAGAGAGAGACAGAGAGAGACAGAGAGAGACAGAGAGAGACAGAGAGAGACAGAGAGAGACAGAGAGAGACAGAGAGAGACAGAGAGAGACAGAGAGAGACAGAGAGAGAGAGAGACAGAGAGAGAGAGAGAGAGAGAGAGAGAGAGAGAGAGAGAGAGAGAGAGAGAGAGAGAGAGAGAGAGAGAGAGAGAGAGAGAGAGAGAGAGAGAGAGAGAGAGAGAGACAGAGAGAGAGAGACAGAGACAGAGACAGAGAGAGACAGAGACAGAGAGACAGAGAGAGAGAGAGAGAGAGAGAGAGAGAGACAGAGAGACAGATTCAGATACAGACACAGAGACATCAGATGTTCAGACAGCGAGCTGCACAATACATTCAAGGAAGTCACTGTTCACATGACAGAGCAGTTTAAAGTATGGCGTGCATGTGTCTGCAAGCAAGTGTGCAACATGGTGGTGGTCTGGCTGTCCATGGCTGAGATATTCTCTGTCACCAGCCTTCCGTCGGTATTCAGCCCTGATGCCATGATGTGCAGTGAACAGCTCAAAGGGGCTGTAACACCAACGTATAAGTCCACAGGCCTGGGAGTACATGTACTGCAGCCAAAGTAGAGTTGGAGCGATGATTCCCCCCCCCCCCCCACACACACCCCACACTATGCAACCAGGTGAATGGATGCGCTCGTGGACACGCCAAGGACATGAACCATGCATGAGGTATCTTGATGCTGTACATGGTACTCGATGCGACCTGATTTGCTATGATGTGCATGTTATTAGTCACTTCTTACCTCCAGCAGTAGAAGGTGTAGCCGAGGAGTTCCAGCATTGCTGAGATCTACACTCTGGTCCTAAATGTACTGCTGGCTGGGGGACGGAAGGTCACATTGTGCTTGGTTGCTTTGCACATGCTGTACAGGTTGACGTTTTAATACGTGACAAACTTTTCAGACTACATCCGCTGAATCGGAAGATTCGCCTGACTCCAACAGATTCCCAGTTTTACTCAAACAGTGGAGATTGGAATTAGAACATTGCATTGGCCCACAAGCTTCTTACAGCTCGAAGCACGTACCGATTGCCGGCTTCATGATGGGGTAGAGGACATTCCAGGTCTTGTCCAGATCCATGTTGCAGTCAACAAACACTGCAGCGGTCAGAGACTCGATCAGATCGCCAAGTGCCTTTGGGACAGCTACCTCTGGAGCAGCCTATAATCACATACCGCACGCACGCAAGCGCGCACAGACAGACAGACACACACACACACAGACACACACACAGACACACAGACACACAGACATACACACACATACACGCACACACACACACACACACACACACACACACACACACACACACACACACACACACACACACACACACATATATATACACACACACACAGAGACACACACACACACACAGACACACACACACATACATGCACGCACACACACACACACACACACACACACACACACACACACACACACACACACACACACACACACACACACACACACATACACACACACATATATATATACACACACGCACACACACACACACATACACACACACACATATATATACACACACACACACTTATAACAATACATACACATAATACCCCCCTCCTCTTCCCTCACGCACACACATATTTTACTAGCGCCCATCAGTCCAGTGTAACATAGCTATCAACCACGGATCGGATTAGCTACACGGCCAAACACACACACTCGTTTGCAGGTCTCACCGTCTCTGTGTCATCAGACACCTCTGATGTCGAGCCGCCTGCAGAGTTGTCGTCGTCACCCTGGGACTGGCCAGCAGTGCTATCCTCATCATCGTCAGAGTCCTGGTCGATATCCAGCCACTCCAGACCTTGCTGGTCACCATCGGCACTCATGTGCAAGAAGTTCCTCTCAACACCGGCATCCATGTCTTCGCCATCGGCACCTGTGCGTTTCTGAAGCCAAACACACAGCAAACGGACCACAACATTGAAGTACTTTCCCTGAAAACTGATGCATTTTTCGCCAAGTAATCCAATGTGCCCAGGGGAGAGAAGTGCTTGTATCTAAGGCGTCCGGATAAGACACGTTTGTTGTAAAATGATGTGTTGTTTTTCCTGTGTGATGGCATTCCCTAAACTGACTCGTCTAGTCGCGTGCATGTGTGATATGAGCATGCGCGATTTTGTAGTCGAGAGTCCTTCTGTCAGTCTTCTTGTTCGTCTCTGTCAGAGCAGTTTGCTTTTCCGTCTTGTCAATATGAATAATGTAACAAAAAAGTCTTGTCCTTGGTGTCCTGCGTCCCGGGGAACGGAATGGCTGTGATTCCGTAACACGTTTTAAACGCATACACTCATACCTCAGTCATGCGGACACCAAAGTTCCGGGCACTTCCGTCTACACCCTTTGGGCGAGCTTTAGTGGAAATATGACTACTCTTTAGTTACTTTCAATGGAAACAGTGACATCACATGCCATTTCTCTGGCCTTTCCCCATCAAAAAAATTATGTGTTTCAGAGTTACGCACAGTGCCCCGGACCCAAACAAAAATGAGTGTACATGTACATGGAAAGCTGGCACCACCAGTGCCCAACAACACATCAATAATATACCTACACTACGGCCCATTCAGAAATAATTGGGTTCTGCAAAGCAAGACTCGAATAGAAGTCATTCCGGAAACTTGTTCATGTTCAAAGAACCAGCATTCGAAACACGCGAATAGAATGAACATGTCGCCCGGGGTCTGCGAACCATTTTCACAAGTATTTTCAGAAAGTCACAGTCTCAATTTTTCGAACCTAGGAGGACGAGGAGAAGGTATCCTACACCATCCTATGGATTGGACGACCCGGTGTGGAAATCTTCAACAGTTTTTCACGGGAGAACAATGCCGACAGGCTGAAGCAGAAAGAAATACACAAACATGTGCAGCCCACCTAGCACGGAAAGCAATCCCAGGCTGGCTAGATTTGAACTGCAGCAGTTCCGACAAGGCCCAGAAGAAACCGTGGATGCGTTCCTTACGCGATGCAAGACAAGAAATGCCAGTTCCGAGACGCTGATGACATTCGTGATCGTCTAACTGAGCAAGTGATCATCGGAACAAACTTCCCAAGAGTTCAAGAGCGCCTACTGGAAAAGGCGTTGCGTTAACCCTAGATCAAGCCCTGGATATCGCCAGGACGTACGAGGCGACACAAGCCCACATGGAGAAGCTGACGAGTAGCCAGGGCCCGAACTCTGAGCAAGCTGTACAGACCATTTCAGCCAAGACTCATTCCCAATGTGCAATAATTGCGCACGATGTGGATTTAATCATGCGACGGGTAAATGCCCTGCCCTCGGATCCATCTGCAACAAGTGCGGCAAATCGAACCACTGGGCAATAGTGTAGCGTTGGCACGCTGATGACTTCAAAGCGTATAGCGTATAGTGTTTAGAGTATAGCATATCCCGTACGTTACTATATCCCCGTACGTTAGCGTATCCCCGTACATTAGTGTACGGAGTTTGCCTGTGCATTAAAGCTGCACGATTCTTTTGTTGCCAGTCAGTTAATTTAGTTGCCAGTCAGTTAATTAAGTAGCCAGTTAATTTCATTGTCAGTTTAGAGTTAGAGTTCAACCTTCGATCCAGTCTTTAGTAATAATAAAGTTAACAACAGTGTGTTCTCTGAGACCCGTGTGCATTTGCCTCCGAGAGAGATTGCGGCCCGCTACAATAGTACCGTATTTTACCGGTTGTAAGTCGACCCCCCTATCTGGAGGTCTAAATTCTGCGTTTTAATTTTTTCACCCAAAGAAGCACTACCAACCACCTCCTGCTACTAACACATCAACAAATCATGTAAACATTCCTTATTGGAGGATATAACGTCCCAATCCTTGAAAAAGGCCAATAAACTGGCACAAGTGTGTAAACATGGTGCACTCGTGCATGCAGTGCAGGTCATTTTTTTGTAAGATATTGATAGTTCCCGGTTATAAGTCGAATCCCGGTTGTAAGTCGACCCCACCATTTCTGCTTTTATTTTAAGTCGTAAAAGGTCGACTTACAACCGGAAAAATACGGTATGCAGGTCCGCAGCCAAGGACAGGATCGGGGAGAATAGTGCTCCGCAGGATAGCCAAGGACACCTGACACACAACCGGAGCAGAAATTCAAAGTCTGTGAATGCTGCCACAGTACAAGAACAATTCGACGAGCTGCAGTTTGAAACGGTCACCAACGACAGCGTCCAACCTTGCCGCAACAGCTTGGGTGACAAGAATGAAGTACTTGCCACCGTAAGCATCGACCTAAATCGCAACCCTGCCGTCCCAGCCACTCTCAAAGCGAAAGTGGGTACTGGGGCACAGGGGAATCTACTGCCTCTGCGATGGTACCAGATGCCAGATGTTCCCACACAAAGTGACGGCTGATGGATACCCCAAGCCTGGAATTCTCCGAGTGTCCAGCACTACTCTTATGGCGTACGGCGGCAGCGAGATCAAGCAATGTGGCATCTGCTCTATCCGCTGCACGTACGGAAACACAACGGGGGGGGGGGGGGGTAATAGAATGTACCGGTATACATGTAATATCTCAAATGCATATGCATTTGAGATGTAGCCAGACACCAGTACCCTATTTGAATGAGAACGGATGGTGCTGTACAGAGGCATAAGATGTTCAAACAGACTCCACAACACCAATTCTTCACGTGATCTTACCAAGTAATCCTCGACGAAGGCGTTGATGGCACGAAACAGCGCCGGGCTGCCATGACGCAGGTACTTCTGGAGTTTCTTGTCCACGGCGATTTCCGCTAGCTTGGCGTTGCACGTCACCGAGTGAAGAATTAGCGCCAGATCACCAGGGCCAAGGTCGGAGCTGTTCCGTCAGAACACCGGAGAACCAGCCGGCAAAGTTAGACGCGGCTCCAGGACGCCTTTAAAAGAACAGGTACATGCGCTTGCCAGGAATAGCATCAGTTGTAGCAACACAACAAATCGCCTCAACTAAGTCAAACACAATATGAGTACACAGTCCACCAGTGAATGTAGAGGTTGTCGCAGGCAAGAGGCTACCGACTACTGTAATGATCTCTATCATAAACTCTGGGCTGATGTATTTTTTTCTTTCAAACCCGTCCTGACCCTGAGCTGCTACTGGAGACTGGGTTTGTATTGGAGACGGTGCCTACATTATTCAACGTATTTGTTTGTCAAACCCGCATAGGGTATAGCTGTCTTGCGTGTGCATCATCTATATACCGCTCCCTTGCAAGCACACTCGACCTTACTCGCATACCAGTACACAGCCCAGGCCTTTGCGGAGACTGAGCTAATAGCTCTTCGGGCACCGGGTGTGCTTGCAGTAAAGACTGTGTTATATTGCGGACGGTACGGTATAGTGAGCAGGGCATGTGCTAAGGATTAAAACATGCTCTGACACAATGTCCTGCTAGTTGCAAAAATGGCCGGACATGTCCGGACATGCAAATTTTCACATCAAATCACACAATGTTCAGAAGCAGCATGATCTTTGAAGGCTGACGTTTTCAGGTTCCTTGAGCCAACGACGAAGGTGTCAGAAAAATTATTGCTGCTGCGAATTTTATCAACAAAACGGGAACACATCTTACACTTCAAATTTTCAACAACGCTACGATCTGAGGGACTGCGCTCATAGCTCAGCCAAACAGAAGTTGAAAGCTCCCTACCATACTCGGCGACCCACTTGTCACAAGTGGTCGTCTTGACTCCTCTGGGCTTCTTTCCAAGAGGAGCACCCGCATCAGCGGTGCTTCGCTTTCTCTTGCCAGACGACATCACTAATGACTATGAGACAAAGGATTGACGTGCCTTATATATTTTGTACTTTGTAAAAAAGTGCGCGGACACTTTGTCCGGATGTGTACAAAACATCCGGAAACTGACCGTAAACGGTCGGAAATTGTCCGATGTCCGACCGTTATTTCACGCCCTGGTGAGAGTTCAGACTAGGCAGTGCACATACTGCATAATTCACACAAGAGAAGAAAGCAAAGCCATGATTGGCTCTGATGATGGACTAAACAAAGGGACCAGATCGGCTGAGCCAAAATCCCAAAACGCTATTCAACCACCTGGCCGATTCCTCCCCTTCCCCCCCCCCCCCCCCCCCCCCGACACACACGCACACGCACACACACACACACACACACACACACACACACACACACACACACACACACACACACACACACACACACACACACACACACACACACACACACACACACACACACACACACACACACACACACACACACACACACACACACACACACACACACACACACACACACACACACACACACACACACACACACACACACACACACACACACACACACACACACACACACACACACACACACACACACACACACACACACACACACACACACACACACACACACACACACACACACACACACACACACACACACACACACACACACACACACACACACACACACACACACACACACACACACACACACACACACACACACACACACACACACACACACACACACACACACACACACACACACACACACACACACACACACACACACACACACACACACACACACACACACACACACACACACACACACACACACACACACACACACACACACACACACACACACACACACACACACACACACACACACACACACACACACACACACACACACACACACACACACACACACACACACACACACACACACACACACACACACACACACACACACACACACACACACACACACACACACACACACACACACACACACACACACACACACACACACACACACACACACACACACACACACACACACACACACACACACACACACACACACACACACACACACACACACACACACACACACACACACACACACACACACACACACACACACACACACACACACACACACACACCATACGAAGAGTTGAGATGCTAAACCCGCAAAGCACCAAACTTGAGAAAATCAGTTATCCGCTCAGCGTGATCCAGTGGCGGATCCAGGACTCGGCCGAAGAGGGGGCCCAAAGTATCCGCCCACCCCCCCCCCCCCCCCCAAACAAAACAACAAATACCAACAACAACAAAGTCCTGAAGTTGTGAAGAGCTGTTGTATTTAGGGTCCGGCGGATTCTGCCGGCAGAAAAATTGGCAGAATTCGGTACTTTTTCTGGTAAGTTTCACGGATGTTTGGTATGTGGATAAAAAAATGGAGCAGAATTCGAGGAATTGCCCGCCATAAGGTTTGTATGGTTCTGCCAATTTCACTGCTTTTCGAGCAGAATATGCCACCTTTTCGAGCAGAATCCGCCGGTCCCTAGTTTTATTCCATTCTCACGACATTTTCAAACTGCACTGGAACATTTCCACTCGACAGCGGCCGCGACGGACCTTTGGACGGCTCTCCAACGCGAGCTCTCTTATCTACCGGTCCACTGAAGAACGACCTGATGTCAGACCCTTTCCTCTTCATCTCATATCTGAAGGTAACCTGTTGGCTACAAGCGAAGTAGAGAGCTAGAGAGCGTTTACTTGTAGTTTCTGACAAGTGAAAAAGAAAAAAGGAAGGACGAAGTCGACAGCACCGTGCACCATACAGGACTTCAGCCCAACGCGATCGCTGCACTATGTACCAGGCCGGCCCTGCATTTTTGGCACGTTTTTCACATGTTTGAAGTGCGGCCGTACCGTGTCCTCAGGTCGCAGTGCGTACAGTAGTTGTACACCGGTACACACTCACAGCGCGCTGACTAGTACAGACTCAGTGCGTGACACCATGTACCGGATCGCGGATCGCGGAGTGACCGGACACGTATAAAAGTACCCAGCACGCGTGACCCACTTGACACGCCAAGTCATTTCGAGCGCTCATTCTACTGTAATCCTAGACCAAGGTCGAAATTTTCAAAGGGGGGGGGGGCCCAGGCCCCCTGGCCCCCCCCCCCCCCCCCCCTGAATCCGCCACTGTGATCAAAAGGTCTACGGGCACCACCCGGCCAAATTTCAAATAAAAAATCTGACTACAGTAGAAGCATTTCAAAAACTGGAATCCAGATAAGGATTTAGCCATACAAACCGCACATAAAATGAATCCTTTTCTGGCCATTATCTGAAAAGCGACGAAATGGATTTAACGGGTTTTGCACTCCAGCTCTTCATACTCGGTCCCATTTATTAAAAATGGGTGCTTTGCTTCCGAAGTCTACCCGACAAATTCAAATAATCTCAGGATGGAATAAACGTCCCAGCTGCCTATCACTGTCCTTCAGTTGTCGATTTGTGATATTGAGGAAGGAATAGTTCGAGTTCCAAAGGAGGCAGCACCTCACACTCCTAGGCGACTCGAGCATTTTCACGTCCAAATTTCGTTGTCAGAGGACTCAATTATTATTACACACCTGCAGCTATCATAGATATGTCGCACCACTAGATAGTCCAGGATAGCGTCGCCGAGGAACTCCAGCTGCTGATAGGAGCGGACAAAGACACAGCTATCGTGCTGGTCGTACGATGGATGCGTGATAGCTTCCAGCAACCAAGACAAATCCCGGAACTCGTACCTGTGGAAAGAAGAGAAAAGTACACCGGAGTGGAACGCATTTTATAAAACAAAAAAATGTCCGTGGACCTGTTTTAGTCAACTCGTCAATCACACCAGCCAACACGGTTCAATCAAGCAAAAGGATAGTCAATACATGCAATAAGAATAAATACAAGGAAAGGGTTCTGGATAATAAATAATCAGGACAATACGGATCTGGCCGCCATTCTCGGGCTCTCTCTCGGGCTCTCTCTCTCTCTCTCTCTCTCTCTCTCTCTCTCTCTCTCTCTCTCTCTCTCTCTCTCTCTCTCTCTCTCTCTCTCTCTCTCTCTCTCTCTCTCTCTCTCTCTCTCTCTCTCTCTCTCTCTCTCTCTCTCTCTCTCTCTCTCTCTCTCTCTCTCTCTCTCGATCTCTCGATCTCTCGATCTCCTCGACCTTGCGCAAATATGTACAATGTAGCTAAAACAAGTATCCCATGAGACCTACGTCACTGGTCCAACACATGGCACTACTCCGGGCATGCCGAGTATGGGGAGAATGCGTACAGCAAGAACAGAGTATATGTCCCATGCTTCTAGTTTACTGAAGGCTTATCAATGACTGAGACCAAACATACATAATCATTACATCATGAATCATACATATTATTAGATACAGTTCAGTGGGACTACCACAGACCAGGGCGCTTTAGTTAACCTGGGAGTGTTCGTGAACCAGATAGTGTTGGTGGACCAGGGAGTGGTTGTGAGCCAGGGAGTGTTTGTGAACCAGGGAGTGTTTGTGAACCAGGGAGTGGTTGTGAACCAAGAGAGGTGTAGGAAAGAGAGAGAGAGAGAGAGAGAGAGAGAGAGAGAGAGAGAGAGAGGGGGGGGGAGAGAGAGAGAGAGAGTAAAACTCACTGTAGTAACTGCTGTAGCTCATCCAGCGCTGGCAGAAATGCATTGATGTCCTTGAGCAGCGGTGTGTCGGTGTCATTTCGCACCGAGTTGAACTGGTCCCCGGGAGACTTGGGCAGCGTGGGCTGCAGGAACAGCGCATTGATCTTCTTGTACTTGTCCAGGGTGCTGGGAGGCGGCAGACAGGCGGCAGCTAACGTCGTGTCCATGAAGAACGGTTTGTTCGCGCCGGGTGCTGTTGCCGTGGGCGAGACCAGCATACCCCGTGCTGTGGGTGAGGCCAGCCTACAAACACGCCCTGGCACAGAAGTAGAGTCATGATCCGCAGCATCAGCTGCAGCTCGCTGACGGCCAGATGCAAAGTCGGCTGCCAAGACAACCTTTGGCGCGGCCGCACGTCGCGGAGAAGTAGTGCTATGAGAAGGCGTGATGGCTGCGAGTGAAACAGCCGTACTAGTAGCTTCATCGGTCTTGAACAAAAGAATAAACAAAGGAACAAGCAAAGGAATAAGCAAAGGAACAAGCAAAGAAACAAGAAAAGGCAACAGCTTAGCTGGCACGATAGAACAGATGAAACTCAAAACTCTCTCCGTTACCTATCCATGACATTCTTGCCAGAGACACACCCAGATTAATACACCAAACATACTCATTTAACATAGCATTAAGGACTATACAGTGGAGGTTTCTTGACTACGCGGCCTCTCTGATCACCAAGTACTTGCTTCAACCCTACTAGTGCCTCCAACCGTTTGCTAGTGTTGGTAGTGAAGCAACAGACCTACCTCACCGGCATAGCAGTTTTTTAAAGTCTTATCTACACAAGAGGGAGAGGGGAAGCTGTGTTGCAACTCCGAGTTGATTACGTAAAGTCTTATCTACATACATACATACATACATACACACACACACACGCACACACACACACACATTAACACACACGCACGCACACACGCACACACGCACACACGCACATACACACGCACACACACACACACGCACACACACGCACACACACGCACACACACACACACACACGCACGCACACACACACTCACAGGCGGGGCAGCTGGTGGCGTGACGGCCATTGGCATCGGCTCCTTTGCCGATGATTTCTTGTCCTTCATTCTGCGATGCGGTATGCCACACCACACCATGAAATGACGGGCTGCGTCGTTGCCGCCGCACAGGAGGAAAGCACCAATCAAAGCCTCGACTGTGTCCGCCAGGTGTTTGACCTTCAGGGGATTCAAATGGATGGTGTTGGTGCCGGGCTGCTCATCCCCGTCCCCTGCAACGCATGACAGATCCCATGTAAAACATGCCAACACAATAATCACGTGCACACACACACACACACACACACACACACACACACACAAACACACATGCACACGCACCCACGAGCACACACACGCACACACACACGCACACACACACACATGCACACGCACACACGAGCACACACACACGAGCACACACACGCACGAGCACACACACGCACGCGCACACACACACACACACACACACACACACACACACACACGCGCACAAACACACAAACACACACACCAATATACACACACCAATATACACATGCACAAACACATTCACGAGCATGCGGCACATCAGTGTTGATATTAAACGTGTAGGGCTGTGAGAATAGATTGGAAATAATGGAAATGATGCAGATATCACGCTTCCAATCCTGCCGCTTCTATGAGCCCGGCAATGCACACAAACACTGTTAATATCTGAGAGAGCATCTTTGCTGACTACCACCCACCACTGGGAGATACCAGCAACAGCACAAGCAGCGTGGGATACCCTGCACGTCCAGTATCGGCCGAGTTATCGAAGACAACAGCACGTCCCCTGAAAGGTGTACATACTTGCCCCATCAGCAAGCTTTGATTTGCACCGTTCAATCATTGTCTGAGCCAGACACACACTTCTTCTAGATTGCACTATGCTGCGTGCACGGTGATATACATTCACCAAGGATGGCGCGGCATGAATGACAAAGTTGTTTTCGTTGCCAGTTAAGTTGTGCGTGTTTTTTATTTATTTTTATTTTTTACGAACTTCCATAAGGCCACACCGGGTTTTTTTCTATGTTTCGTGGCACCTTATTCGATAAAATCCATGAGGGAGGGAGAAAAAATAAAAAAGCCATAAAAAACAGTGTACGTGCATTGCATTTGTGTACAGTGGAGCTAAAAAAAGACCCGGCACTGTTCATGTATATTCATTCACACATGCATACATGAATACATGAGTGTAATTCCAATACAATGAACGTCGCAAAGTAAGTTTATTGCACAATGCAATCTCTACTGATTGGTAACAACTGGCTGAACTCTGTTAGCATTATCACTCATAATATCAGCATGCTTGTGGTCCAATCACAGGCGACATGATGATTGCGTGACTTGCGGCCCAGCTTAGGCTGCAACCACACTAGGTACAAAATCACGTACAAACGGCATTACAGTAGAAATCATCATGGCGACCCGCGCGAAATGCAAAATGCGCTTTGTAGGTTTTCAGCAACCAACGCACCCCTGTAGAAAGCCACGTTTGTCGTTTTCGTCGTTTTCGCGCTCCATCTCCTGTGCACAACTTTTTTTGTACCTGGTCGTCGTACATAGCATCAGCATCAGCATTGTTTTTGAATTTCCCGGCCTCTTCCAGTGCATGGCATACACTTTGGTACGACAACGTCACGTGCTGGCCGCGTGAAAACGTCATCTATGCAGACTGAAAAGTGTAGTGTGGTTGCGTACCGACTTGTACTGAGATATGCATGAAAGTTTGTACTGTGACTTTTACGTAGTGTGGTTGCGGCCTTACACACACAGCTACATGTACATGATTATGTGAGCTGAGTACAATCATGCGACAAATAGAACAAATGATGCCAACATAATAGTTACGAATGCATAAATCATGTTCTGTGTTTTTTTTTGTTTTTTTTGGAACTCCGGCTGTGAAGTACACGCGTGCGGGGGACGCGAAACATAGACAAAAAATGGTGTGGCCTAATATACTCCAAACATCTTGTGATAGGTATGATGAGAAGAGGAGTGTCAGAGTGGTGGGGCTGAGCACAGGAGTGCCATGGTGGTGGGGCTGAGCACACTTAGTTTTTTGTTCTCTGCCGTAAGTTACCGAATACCGTGCTGTTGAGTCAGTCCGCCTTGCTGTTAGCTGTGGAAGATGATGGCGTTCGTAGCACCTACTGGTTTCACAAGTTCTAAGCTGTCGACTGCAAGTCAACAAAAATTCGACGCATATTTATTTTCGGCTATTTTCGGCCAGGTTGCGCCGAAATTTTGCTTTGCAAGATTCAGTGTGACTGAGTATACAGTCAGCAGCAGTACAGGCTGACAATTTAATGCGACCGAAATGTGTTTTAGCCCTGGGAGGCCGAAATTTGAATGGGCTGAACATTTGTAGACTTACAGTATATGCATTATGCCACGACATTGCCGACGTGTGTTAAGCATCTTCTGTCATCATAAACATCTATGCAATCACCTCTACACATAACTGTTATTCTGAAACAGAACAGTTGGTCTTCCGGCGTGTGACTCGTACGTGTCCACTGCCGCAGCTTCTCTACGTTGGATCAGTTTGTGCGCAAACATGCACCGCGGCATGCGCCTTAACAACAAACGCGATGCAATGCAGATTTTCCCTGAGTTTTTCTGAGGCCTTTGATCGCAGCGGCCACTACGTCATTTTTCATTCTGTCTGAGTGATGCGCAGTGGCAGCATGTGTTGTGTGCTCTGGTGTCTGTACAGTGTAGCTCAACATGATTGTACAGTGTACAACAGAGATCCAGACAGATCTACAACTAGATGTGCACGTGTGCACGCACACACGCACGCGCGTGCACCCCTCCCCCCCCCCCCCCCACACACACACGCGCACGCACATGCACACATACATACACACACACACACACACACACACACACACACACACACACACACACACACACACACACACACACACATGCGTGGACAATGGCTTACTGCTGGGAGAGCTTCGCTTAGCGGTGGGTGGAGATGACAGTGATGAATGATGAACTAGGCATGCCGAGGTAGGGTAGTGGCAGTGGCAGCGAGGGTGGAAGCAGCAGCAGCAGCAGCAGCAGCAGGACATGGTAAAAACCAGTGAATCACACACAGGTCCACACAAGACGTTGCTTTGCCCCTGCTTCTAGAGGTCATTTGAATCAAGCAAAGACTGTTGACACGGCTCGATGTCAACACGAGCACTCGAGCAGCCAGAGCTAGCGATGTCACAGCAAGATGACCGAGGGCTAGGCCATTACAACTCTCTGAGTTTATTAGGGTTAGTTAGAACGCTGAGTTTGCTAGGGTCAAGTCAGTACCACTTCGGGTTTTAGGATTACGTTTATTGTTACAGCTCTCAGGTTCCTAGGGCTAGATCGTTACAACTCTGAGTTTCCTAGGGTTAGCCAGTCACAATCGGGAGTTTCTTACAATGACTTCCTTTGGTTTAAGTTTGTTACAACTCTCTGAATTTCTTAGGTCGTTACAACTCTGAATTTCTTAGGTCGTTGCAACCCTCTTAGTTTCTTAGGTCGTTGCAACTCTCTGAATTTCTTAGGTCGTTACAACTCTGAATTTCTTAGGTCGTTGCAACCCTCTTAGTTTCTTAGGTCGTTGCAACTCTCTTAGTTTCTTAGGTCGTTGCAACTCTCTTAGTTTCTTAGGTCGTTGCAACTCTCTTAGTTTCTTAGGTCGTTGCAACTCTCTTAGTTTCTTAGGTCGTTGCAACTCTCTTAGTTTCTTAGGTCGTTGCAACTCTCTTAGTTTCTTAGGTCGTTGCAACTCTCTTAGTTTCTTAGGTCGTTGCAACTCTCTTAGTTTCTTAGGTCGTTGCAACTCTCTTAGTTTCTTAGGTCGTTGCAACTCTCTTAGTTTCTTGGGTCGTTGCAACTCTCTTAGTTTCTTAGGTCGTTGCAACTCTCTTAGTTTCTTAGGTCGTTGCAACTCTCTTAGTTTCTTAGGTCGTTGCAACTCTCTTAGTTTCTTAGGTCGTTGCAACTCTCTTAGTTTCTTAGGTCGTTGCAACTCTCTTAGTTTCTTAGGTCGTTGCAACTCTCTTAGTTTCTTAGGTCGTTGCAACTCTCTTAGTTTCTTAGGTCGTTGCAACTCTCTTAGTTTCTTAGGTCGTTGCAACTCTCTTAGTTTCTTAGGTCGTTGCAACTCTCTTAGTTTCTTAGGTCGTTGCAACTCTCTTAGTTTCTTAGGTCGTTGCAACTCTCTTAGTTTCTTAGGTCGTTGCAACTCTCTTAGTTTCTTAGGTCGTTGCAACTCTCTTAGTTTCTTAGGTCGTTGCAACTCTCTTAGTTTCTTAGGTCGTTGCAACTCTCTTAGTTTCTTAGGTCGTTGCAACTCTCTTAGTTTCTTAGGTCGTTGCAACTCTCTTAGTTTCTTAGGTCGTTGCAACTCTCTTAGTTTCTTAGGTCGTTGCAACTCTCTTAGTTTCTTAGGTCGTTGCAACTCTCTTACAGTGCGTTTTTTTATAATAGACTCTGAAATCCTTGAGAACGTACTCAAGGCCACTTTTGAGAAAATGTCATGCGAGTTGCGTCACGAAAATCTGCGCGCGAAATTCGAAAACCAGGTGTGACTCGTGGCATTTCGCCAGTTGCTGACTGCTCTGTGGCCCTATTTTGCTTTTTCTCGAGTGTCTTTTCGTTCGTGGCAACTTACTTGTTCTCTCGACATGCCACATATAACAAAGCGCGAACGGGCCATGGTAGAATCTACATGGTGGTGTCTGTTTTACAATTTTTGCGAAGACGAGGAGAACAGTGGCTAGGGCATCGAATTGGTCCCAAGTATTCCATTCGTCATGCTGCTGTTGCGTGTGGCGTCAGCATTTCCACTATGAACAGATGTACCAGGGATGCTGACGGCGAAAATCAGCGTGCTGCGTTGGCCTTGTCTGTCTCCAGTGTAACGAGAGTGACAATCCCCAATGTGAGACTCGTGCCATAAAACCACTCAACCCTGACGGATTTGCTTTGGACTGTATAAGAAGTAATTTACGGATTCTATGCTGCGAAGGAGCACCCAACACTGGACAAAGTTCCTGCTCGCTGCATAGAAAGCATCGACGATTTTCCAGACATGAGCAAAACTAGCTCTTGGAAAATGTTGCGTTTCATGGGATTCCAGTGTGGCAAGACCAGAGGTATCACACACATGATGATGGAACGGCACGGGATTGTGTCATGGCGGTATCGCTATACCTGTGAGACATACCTGGATGACACGTGGGTCAATGCGCGTCACACAGTTACTAGGAGGTGGTCCGACAATGGTGACAGGAGTGTATAGGCAAGCAACCAAATGAAGCACCATCAGGTAAAGGCAAGCGCTTTATTGTTCTGCATACTGGTGGACGGGATGGATTCGTGAAAAACTGCGCCGATGTGTTCGTGACTGGAGACCGACGAGGCCGACGCCAACGATGATATACGCCGTCGGCTGTCCTAGCACATCTGTTCACTGTGTAATACTGTCGTCACAAGTGCAACACAAAACACGGAATTATTGGGGCCGTTTCGACGCTCGCTGGTCTTCTACTATTCGCAGATGTTGAACCAGACACAACTGTGACCTATTTGCATTGTGTGTGTGTGTGTGTGTGTGTGTGTGTGTGTGTGTGTTTGTAAAACCGCTCATGTATTGCTTCCTTTTAGTCTCTTTATGGGTGCTGTGTGAATTGCCCTTGTGATTTGTTGTGGTGTTTGAATTTTCACTGCATTCTTTCAGGGATCGAGGGAAGTTTCCTACATGCATGCTGGAATGTTTTGATTTATTGAGCTAATTGCAATACAGCATTTGAATTATTCAGTACAGTTTGCCACAGTAAGTCGTGAAAAGCCACGACTCCCTGGTTTCCTACAAAGGTTAGGACAACTGCAGACAGCAGTGCACAACTGCACAGTCTACTTGTAGTCATGTACGTGTACATGCATGCGCTGTACCAAAAAAGAGGAGAAAAAAAGAATCAGGATGAACTGTACTGGATTCGAACTCTGGCGGACACCATGCACGTGATGAGCTTTCCTGGCTAAAACTTTCGTTTTAAAATCAAAATCCACTGAAAACCATTTAAAACCGGATTTTCAGCCCAAACCCGTCCGAATATCTAACTTTGACAATTATTATTATTCCGATTCCCAAACTTAATTTTCTTCGATCCAAGACCCACACAAACGCAGCTGTGAAGAAAAAATTTCAAATTTGGAATGAGAACAAACTAAAAAATCAAAATCGACAAATGTCTGTTTAAAAAAAAACGCACTGTAGTTTCTTAGGTCGTTGCAACTCTCTTAGTTTCTCAGGTCGTTGCAACTCTCTTAGTTTCTTAGGTCGTTGCAACTCTCTTAGTTTCTTAGGTCGTTGCAACTCTCTTAGTTTCTTAGGTCGTTGCAACTCTCTTAGTTTCTTAGGTCGTTGCAACTCTCTTAGTTTCTTAGGTCGTTGCAACTCTCTTAGTTTCTTAGGTCGTTGCAACTCTCTTAGTTTCTTAGGTCGTTGCAACTCTCTTAGTTTCTTAGGTCGTTGCAACTCTCTTAATTTCTTAGGTCGTTGCAACTCTCTTAGTTTCTTAGGTCGTTGCAACTCTCTTAGTTTCTTAGGTCGTTGCAACTCTCTTAGTTTCTTAGGTCGTTGCAACTCTCTTAGTTTCTTAGGTCGTTGCAACTCTCTTAGTTTCTTAGGTCGTTGCAACTCTCTTAGTTTCTTAGGTCGTTGCAACTCTCTTAGTTTCTTAGGTCGTTGCAACTCTCTTAGTTTCTTAGGTCGTTGCAACTCTCTTAGTTTCTTAGGTTTAGTTTGTTACAACAAGGCAGTGAGTACAGAGTCATCCACCCACCGTGTCGCTCAATGAAATCAGCCTTGCCAGCTATGCTGGGTTACCTGTCCCGTACCGTACCATCAGGGTGTGTGTCTGTTTGTTTGTGCCGTCGGCATA